CACACACACACACACACAAAATACACTTGCATGTGTCAATCATAATCCATATAAATCTGAATTTCCTGTTTTCATATCAAACACAACTCAGATGAAATTTTTAAAAGCTCACCTCCGCATTGAAACATGAAACCTAACAGAACAGCAGCTCAATCTCTTCTTTGAAACCACTTAAGGTCAGATGCCATAACCAAGCACTCAGTGAAGCGGGATGTTTCCAAAGGAAGAGACAGAGTGACTGTACTTTTCTTTCTTTTTCGTTGTTGGAGAAACCCAGTTTTTTTTTTTTTTTGGGGGGGGGGGGGGTTGTGTCTTTAATGGAGAGATTGGACAGTGGGAAAGTGGATATAGTTGGAAATCAGAGAGAGAGAGAGAGAGTAGGGAATGACATGCGGGAAAGGAGCCACAGGTGGGATTTGAACCTGGGCTGTCTGCATGGAGGACCAAAGCCTCCATACACTAACCACTGCTCCACCAGCGCCCTGAAAAACAGTTTTTTTAACAGGTATAAATAACTCTGACACAAGGCCTGTTTGGTGTTTCTTGTTCCTTAAGGAGATTTTAGACATTCTGATAAATGTCCTCAAATGATGTCACTTGAGTCAGTTTCATTCTGACTAATTGACTGATTTCGACCATAGGTAAAATAAATACACGACAAAAGCAGTGACAATATGAACCCAAACAAAACTAAACTAGTGAGAAATATTGAGTAGAAGTATAGTGTTGTGCTTAAAGATCCAAAATGTGTCCTGATTTTTCACAGGACTGCAATATTTCTTGCGCAGAAGACTAGATGGAATATGAAAAGAAAATGTAGAAGTTGTGGAGTCTAAAAGAAGTGAGCTGATCTGTATCCAACTCTTGATCAGTGTGAAGCCAGCAGCTTGAGCCTGTATAATCCAAATGCTAGAATAACACACCTACATCTGTGGCTTTACAGTCTATGCTGTGGACAGACTGTCTGTGACTCAGTTGCATTATGGGTAATGAAGTAACTCACTTCTGAAAAAATACAACCTATGTGGTTCACTCTTCTAACAGACAGAAGACAGAGAAAAAAACTTCACTACACTTTGACATCATGCACTGCAATTAAACCTTAAGTTGGAAGGAAATATATCATGAGCAAATGAAAAAGATCCCAAAATACTTTTGTCCTACCCTGACAGCTGAAGGCTCATTTCAGCTCCAGATAAATACTGAAATATAGTTTCAGTATTTCTCTGGTTGTAGATTTGTTCCAGATCTATATTGCACCAAAAGTGCACATGGGCACCTGTTTTAAGATGTATATAACTTCTTCATCTTAATGTGAGCCCATTCATACAGCAAATCTTCTTTTCAGAAACCAATAACATTTTGCTTCGCTAGAGTGTTTCATTATTGCCCCTATTAAAGCTCTCTGTTCACATAAAGACGTATAAAGCAGCCGTACACGTGTTGCATCAGAGGAGAGGAGATTATTTGCATATTAAAAAATTTGCCTGTGAGTGTGTTTGTGTGTGTGTGTGTGTGTGTGTGTGTGTGTGTGTGTGTGTGCCCAACTAAGTCTCAGCGAGGGACAAACATTTGCTGGACACACACACACACACACACACACATATGTGGGGTGTTTCTATGGGAACCAAACAGCTACTCTGCTCTTCAATAGCGAGAGAGTGAGCTGAGGTAGATGGCTATTGTGATGTGTGTGTTTGGGGGGTCGAGGCGGCGGTTCGAGAGGGGTTAGGGGGGAGCAATATTAAACAACGCACTAGACAGATGAAAGCACTGCACATCCTTAAATCTAATCATAATTTAGTCATCACTACAAGATGGTATGATCAAAATAAAGAAGGAAATAGGCAGGACAGACGCTGATGGAGAGGGACCTGAGTGCACGAGTCAAGGAAAGGGGGACGTGAGATTGCGGTTAGATGGAAATGATGGACAGAGATGGTCTTATTCCTTAAAGTTGATGCTTTTTTGTTGCATCAATCCCTACATCCAGGCGCAGGCACTTTGCTTAAAAGGATTTCTGATGCTCAGCACAGAGCTTCAGCGGCAAAGACAGAGAGCTCAAATCATAACCTCCAATACCCGGACTTACGTTTATGCCTTTTCTAAAACCATAACAAATTCAATTACAAAAGCTCATTGTTAGTACGAAGTTTCATGAATACATTCATCTTGGTAATTTTGTGGATATATTATTTTAAAACTATCTACCATCTTAGGGTAATTCTTCTTTAGGTCTGTGCAGCTGTAACACATATGTGTAGGACATCTCATAGCAGCAGCTCTATATCTGGAGAGAAGCCAAGTGTATGTTGTGAGCTGAAAAGAAAATATGATTTGCTGAGACTGCAGAAATGTACATGTCTGATATTTACAAGTGAAGGTAACGTCTTGTTTCTGGCCTATTAGAAGTGTATCCAAATGGAAAGGAACGTGTAGGATGTACCTGCCAACAGACTGTAAGAAAGACTGTTAACGTGAAAAGTTTGTCATCCATTTACATTCTGTTTCTGTTGTCCGACCTCGGCCAGATACATCCTAAGATAATCCGCAGTCTGTTTCACGATTTGATCATTGAACATTTACAGAAGAAACCCCCCCCCACCCAACACCCACAGAAACAAAAAGTTGCCTTTGAGTTCAGGCATATTGTCGCAAATAGAACTTATTTGAATACTGATATTACAAATTCTTATCTTAAATTATTGGCTTTTGTTGCAACATTTTGAAGAATTTAAAAGTTCTGCAGGAAGAAAATCAAACGATCATCGCAATCTTACATTTTATACCTGAGACACATGGATTGTGCTGCAGAGAGAGTTACATAATGGAGCCCATTAGGGTGACCTGACCCTCCTCCCTTCACCGGCGAAGGACTTTTGAAACAAAATCAGACAAAGAAAATTCAGAGAGAAGAGGAGGAAGAGGAGGAGGAGCAAATATAGAGTTTCTTTAACAAAAGGACTCTGAAAGTTAATAGTGACATTTCTTAAAGTAGGAGGGAATGATTGTCGGCCATTTGAACTGATATAATCAAAACTGTTATTTATTCTGAATTTCACTTAAGATATTTATCTGAAAAAATCTCCAAGCAGCACCAGTATCTTTATAGTAATATCTGAGGTATAGAAGTAGATTGTCACATCCTAATCATTTCTATGTTTCATTTAATTTTCAAAGAAAAGACACGATATGTCTTGATTTCACGAGAGTCTGGATGTTTTGGTTCTGCAAAGATGGTCTGAAATCCATTCTGAACTCTCTCTCAACAAGTCTTTTCACCCAATATAATAATTTAACATCACATTGGATTACTCCTTTGAGCATTGACATTTTATTGCAAAAATGAAGTTCTTGTTGGAAGTTGGAGAAGAATCACCGTCCCTCCTTCAATGTGTCTCTCTCTGTTGGGCTGCTGATGACACTGGGTGCTGGGGCAGCTTCAAGCAGCCCATTAGAGAGAAACTATTTTCCACCTCCTCTTTGTCCCCCGCTCTCTGGACCCCTTCCCATCTTGGTCAGCTTCTCCTGTGAAGACGTGTCACGACCTTTCTTTGATAGACTAAGTAAATGCACCACCTCCTGCTAACAACCATGGCCTTGATCGTGCCTTCTAGGGACATGCAATTTTAAGTTTATGATGGAACCAGTCGTTATACAGAGCACTTCAGTCTCTTCTTCCCAAAGGTGAATAAAATGCATCCCAATGTGGCATTTGTGTCATTATAACTACATAAGGCAATTAACTGAAGGACAAATGGTCACGTTAATGGTTAAACATGTAAAATGCAATAATAATAAGAACTGATTCCTGCATTTAAAAATAAAAAGTCAGTGTAAAGGTTTACTTTAAAATGATGGTATTTACTAACTAATATATACTGTAATGGCAATTTTCCAATTTTTTTCCTTTGCTCCAATTATTGCCATTAATACACAGGTAGGGGTGAAGTCTTACGCAGATGCAAACAATGATTTTCCAGCCGTTATTAAAGTTGAGTAGAAGGTTTATTGAAGTGACTTGATGGAGATATGAGAACAAAAAACATTTCCAGTGTAGCCAGTAGAATGAATGAATTGTAGTTTGTCTGAGTGCTGGTCTGAAACATGAATGCTGGTCTGGTGAGAACTGTCTGTGCTCCCCCTACCTGTGCCTTTCCTTTCCTGTCACCTGTGCCACTATATATACACGCCCCTGTGCATTCAGTGTCCTTAATGGAAAATAATATATTCAGATAAATCTAATTATACAACATGCCAACGATAAACACAAAATGGCTCCTACATATACCATACCTTTTTCATTCTCATAAACTCTCCAGTTCAGATATTTAAGATAGTCAAAAGTTTACATCTCACTTGGATTCAACCTTTTTGCGATTGCATGTGATGAATGAAATGTTATTGATATTTAGGCTACTACTTCATGAAATCCTTTTTATTTATATGTAAAAAAAAAAAAAAAAAAAATACTACGCCATATTGATTGATCTGTGTCTGTGAAATGTAAATGTAATTTGTAGCACACAACTACTGACTGTATTAATTCATTTATAAGCAATATACACACTACCTGTCATAAGTTTGGACACACAACAGCAACAGTTTTTTCAATGATATATTATACTATTTTAGTAGAGTCTTCAGGGCCTTGGGTTTCTCAGGGTGATGAATGGCTTTCATGTAATGCTGCAACTCACTTGAAAAAAGTTTGAATGTAGCTTTCCTGTTCAATGTTACTGTTATGGATACGAAATTTAGCCAAAAAAAAAAAAAAAAGATAACACTATGTTGTTGTTTTTTAATGTAGCTTTTCTGTTCAATATTACTGTTATGGATATGAAATTTAGCCAAAATAAAAAATAAAAAATAACACTATCTTTTTTTTGTTTTTTTTTGTTCTACTGTGTTTTATTTATGTTGTGTATAAACCTCACAGACGCTACACGGAACCTTTATCCTGCCGCCTCGGGTTCAGGGGACATTATTCCTGACGGACTATCAAAATGACATAGTGGTAAACACAGTAAGGTGAGTTTCGATTTTGTTTTTTTTTTATTGCTTGTGAACGGCACCAGTTCTACTTCAGGATATAACCAGTACAGCTCGGTGGGTATACGACGACTGAGACTGTAGTTACGAATCAAGTAGTTTCTGTTTTTAAAGTGACATTGTTCAAGGATGGAGAGAAGCTACCGTTAGCTGCTAGCTGCTCCCGGTTTACATCATAAAAAAAACAGGCCTGGTCGTTTTGGCTTCTAGACTAGTTTATTCTGTTTTTTTGTTGAACCTATAAAGCACAAAATTATCGTGCTAATCTTGATTTATAAGCAAGATAGCTGACATTTCAGGTTGATGTATGTATCCAGAGGGCTGACCGTGGCTTCACCTCTGTTTACTGCTGAGGTGCTGAGTCTGTGTTTGAGAGCAGAGCTACAGAGGTAAACACAAACAAACACACAAACAAACACACAAAGGGCTTCAATCTGGATGTTTTCCTTTGCTTATTAATGCTATTCGACTTTTTTTGAATTGTAGTAGCAGCGTTGTTTGATCAGATGGGGATGATGGGGATCAAATAAGAGAGGACCAGTGATGCGTTCAAGGTCTTTGGTTGTACGTGAGGATGTAAACGTGTGACCCTCATTTCCAATGGTGCCGAGAAAACATACATAAATGATAAACAACGAGAAATTAGATAAACTGCAGAAAATAAAATCAATAAAAGAGCAATAAGAACATTAAAATATATAAACACTAAAATAATTTAAAAGCTTGAAATTACTACAGCGATAAGTCAGCAATTTAAAATCAAATAAAATAGTTACAGTCAGGTATTGGGCGGTTAAAAATAATATTTCTAAAGTGTCCATAAGGGGTAAAAGTGCTCAAGTTCACGTCCTGTTGTAAAATGTTCCAGGAGTTTTGCAGCACTAACACTAAAAGCAGTTTTCTCCCAGGTCAGTCCTGGCGTGAGGAACCTGGAGAACCAGCCTATCTCACTCGAGCGGGTTAAAAATGGACCAGGGTTCGGATTTAACAAGGAGGTGATGTGTGGTGGAAGCTTTCCAGGAAGGGATTTGTAGATAAAACAATTATTGCGTCTCTCAGTGAGGGAGGGCCAACCAACGTTATTATGGAGAATGCAGTGGTGTCGTCATGTAGCTGTCACCGGGGATGAATCTAATCGCAGAATGGTAAACAGCATCTAAGGGCTTTAGCGTGCCTGTAGACCACATCACCGTAATCCAAAACTGAAAGAAACACTGCTTCAATTATCCTTTTCTGACAGAACATAGGGAAATGTAATTAATTTAAAAACTTGTCGTAGGTTAAGACACAAACGATATTTATGGACTTGACAAAAGAAATATAGAGAGAGGTTGGAGTTTGCTCACAACCAGTTAAATCCAGATGTTTAAGTTCAGCACAGAAAATATATAAAGTGAAAATCTGGTTGTTAGGGGAGTGGCTCTGTATGTGTTTAATAATGTATCTATGTTTGGAATATTATTATTTCATGGAGTTATTTTGTGCCATCTATGTTTGTATAAAGAACCAGTTTGTGTGTTGGATGATTAAGATTGACTGTAAGATGCATATAAGGGTGTAGCTCATTGTTTTTATGTATAATCTGATTTTAGGGCTGTCAAATTATGTTTTAACATGACATTTCGACGTGCTATTAGTCACAAAATTTCAATAGTTAATCGAGATTAATCGCATGTTTGGAACTCCATTATTTCGCAATTATGAATAAAAATGGTTAGGTTTTATTTTTTTATTTGAGCAAAGGACAATTTTTGTTTCTTGTGCTTAATGGTGCTTAATTATGTTGCGTTCTAATTCATGACTACTTAGTTTGAACACGAGGGGAGAGGGGTTGGAGGTTTGCCGCTGCAGGAGAGCAGAGGATTCAGATTGCGGAGGTGTCGCCAAACAGCAGTTTGTTTAGGTTTAAAACTGGTGCTAAAGGGCGACATCTACTGGACTCGAAGTCGCACATTCTTCCTTTAAAAACAAGAAACGACCCAATATTAGACGTGGTATCAAAACAGGTACCGATTGTTTGATTTGTACTTGTATCATATTGAAGTTTAAAATTCTGGTGTTGCGACAGCCCTAGATTGAATGATAGTAAAACAAACAAAATGACCGTTAATTATTATGAGGCCAAACTGGATAAAAATATGAAATGTATTCCTTCAGGCAGAAGTGAGATCAGTGATCTTATTGTTTACTCGGCTCTAGTCCTCGTTATGACCACATTCTCCAGGACGTTTTTTTGACATGATCAAAAGTATTGTAATGTTTGCTGGAATTGCCAGATGGTATAAGTGAGTCAAAAAGAGTTTGGTGGAAAGTTTGATGAGTAACTGTTTCAGCAGCGGGCAGATGATGTCATGATGAATAATGTTGGTGAATAATCGTGCAGGGTGTGAAACCACTTCAGCTGATTTCTCAGTAAAGTTGCTGCATCATTCATCAGAGATCATTTGCATATTTATTGAAATTATGCTTTTTATTCAGAGCTCTCGGCTTATTTTCACTTTTGTTTCATTGAATTTCTGTTTTGTTTATTATATAAATTTAATAGATGCATATACATTTTTTTATGAATGAAGTTGTGAAAATGCTCTTTGATAATCATGTCAGCTGTTTCAGTTTAAAGCACTAAATGTTCTAATGCTGTGCAGTAGTTGAATTTATGTGAAAACAATGCATAGGTAATTAAATAGTCAAATGAAATTGACTTTAAAACCATTTGAATACCTGATGCGTCTATACATCTATACATCCTCACTCATATCTCCAATAAAATGATCAGGGATGAATCAGAAATGTTCACTTTATCGGCCTGCCTGACTCAAATTGAAAAGCAGTGATGTAATGGTCTTTAAATAATTCATGTGTGGAGGAAAGTGAACAAGGCAGAGCTGTGGAGGAGAATAAAATCAATGAGGGTGAGAGAGCAGGAATGAGAGAGAAAAAGAAAGCGATACAGACAGAATTGGGGGGAGAGAGAGAGAGATAAGAGAGAGAGACAGAGGAGTGGAGGGAATCAGAAGAGACAGACGGTCAGCTAGATGGATGGGAACCCCACCCAGGCCCGCTTCCTCTGTGACCGCTCTGTCCACTGATAATCTCAGCTGAGGAGGAAGTCGAGTATCATTTCATTCAGCACACGTGAGGGAGGATGAACGAAAAAGCTCTGGTCTCAGTGTGGTGGTGAGGATGCTGTTCAGAGGGTGGGTAGTCTGATGCTTAAAGTTCTTAAAGCTCTTATCTGACTTTTGTCTTTGCAAAACCTCTGTTTCGATTTGACCAAAAATGTTCAGGAACAGGTGAGGATTTAGTGTGTAAATGAATCACAGTGTTCGAACTAACAGCTGTGTTTCCATTCTTAGTTTGTCTTCAGCATGCTTCCTCTTACTGTTTCCTTTTTCTTTCTTACAGTCGAGCCACAAAAAGTGTCCATCAGATGAACTCACAGCCAGCTGACGGGGGGGAAAAAAAGAACATGAATAATAAAGTTGACTTCATATCCTCCAGACTTGAAGTCCAGCACCTGAACATGTTCGTCTGAGCTGAGGGACTTCATGTTTTTTTTCTTACACAAACTGTGTGTGTGTCTGGTGAAGTCTCAGAGTCTGCCACACAAGTCTGCTTGACTCGGGGACTCCCAGGCTACTGTAAGTTTCGCTCTGGAATAAAGCCGACGGTAGCTTTCCCCAGAGAAGTAATCGACTTTCCCTTCAGAGCTGGAGGCACAGCATTGCAAAGACGGTAACACTGGACCAAGGCTATGTCCTGAGGGGAGAGCAAGACTCTGCTTCAGTCAGCAGTTTGTGAAGCCTGCGCTCTGCTTGGGTCTTCCCGTTTTCGGGACATACCTTAAGGACATGCACTCGATAGGCTGACAGCTTTTTTTGTTTTAATGGCAATGTGGATGCTAACAGGCATTTTGTGCTCCTTTTGGAAAACCATTCAGTTGTGAGACTACTAACTCAAGGAAAGGCGCCGCCATGGAGGGTCTTGCGCAGCTTGACATGGTGGGCGATATCAGCCCGGCTCTTGAGGCCACAGAGGACTTTATCCACTGCATGGATGGGATACAAGGCCAAGGTCCGAGCCAGGCTCAAACAGGGACCCTCCAGCCCTCCAGGCAGCAGAAGCAGCTGCATGAGGTGTCCAGTGCAGCGCTGGGGAAGCTGAGCTCCAGCGGTGTGTGGGGTCTGCTGGCTGGAGAGCAGCCAGAGGTAGGGCCCCTCGGTCTGGCCTGGGCTGACAACTTCAGCGTTTTGGGGCTGGGGATGGGCCTCAGGCATGGAAAGAGGAGCCGAGCGCGATCCACCAACGACCTGGCAGCTCACTCCAAGGAGTGCACCAACAACGCCGCTAACTCCTCAACCAACTCAGCCTTCAAGAAAGGCCACAACCGGTCCAGGTCAGATGTCCACTACCGGCCGTCTGCATTCACAGACAACTGTCTGCCCACCGTGGACTGCAACACGCTGAAGAACATGATCCTCAACCACGGGGGTGAGTTCACATCCACAGTATGAGTCTGTTTGATCTCATTTTTACAGAGGTTGTTCTGTCTGAGGGAGCTGAAAGATTAGTCTGTTGAGAAACTATCTAAAGAAAAATACTTACTAGGTACTTTATTCATCTTGTGGAAAATTCAGGACACATAAGATGGACAAAAAGTAGCAATCCTTCAACTTCAAATTCATTGTCTCCAAAGGAGAAATTTGTTTGACAAACCAGGTGAAAACTAGAAACATAAAGAAACCCGGGCACATAGACTCAAACAACATACACTGTGGTTATTAAATACAAGAGTTCATCAGGTAACAACAGGAAACGGAGAATGTATAAAAACATCCATAAAACCATCGGTCATCAGGGTGATCATTGGAGTTCAGTCTTTTGATGGCGTGAGTTATAAAATACATTTTCAACCTGTTGGACTTTGATGTATCTCCTGCCTGAGGGCAGAATCTCAAACTCACCGAAGCTGTAAGATGTCTCAAGCCTTAACTTCAGTATGTCCTTTGTTTAAGCCTGTTCGAAGCTTGAATTTGAGGCTTTGACTTAAGTCTATATGTTATCACAGAGAGCTCCGCAGCATGGTGCTGTTTACACGCCTGCTTTGACACAAGCCCGTTCTCAGCGTCAAAATGTTCACTTGCTTCTGCCGTGTCTGTTGGCCTCTCTTCTGCAGCTACCTACGTTTCACAAGAGAAGCCAATAGAAGATAGGGCCCTCTGCTGGTTCAAAATCAATGCTATATACATTTTCGTCAAATACATTTTAATTGTCCATATTTCTTTACATTTTTAATTTTATTACGAGGTGTGGTTATTAAACATGATGACGTGTCCTTTGGTGGTCAACTCATTGAACAGCTCAGACTCAACCTGTGAGAAACAAACCTCTCCTCCTCCTCCACGCTCTGATCGACTGTCCGTTCTCTGGTAAGCTTTCTCCGCCTTTCAGAGTCCGCTGGAGAACAGAAGTCTGGAACTGTTTGTTCCTCAAAGCGTGGCGTATGCTCTACTTATGTTGAAGCATCCTCAGAGAAAGCACTAATGATAGAAGATGATGATAACTTGAAATGACACAGCTGTGCTATGACTGTCAGCATTCAGGCACAGGGCACATACTCTTTCCCTTCCTCTCTCTTTCTTTTCCTCTCTCTCTGTCTGTCTGTCTGTCTGTCTTTCTCACACACAGACACACACACACCATTTGTTTGTGTGTTTTAGCCATCTGAAGGCCTAAGGAGATCCTAAGGGATCCTGAGGGATAATAGCCTGTAATCCTGTCAGCAAATGGACTCAAATGAGGCGAGAGAAGAGGCAACCCAATTACCCGGCCCCTGATACTGGCAGGATTATTTAGTATTAGCATATGTGTGAAAAGGCATCAGGCTATTTAGTTTGGCTCTGTGAGTATTGAAAGCAGAGAAGTAGGAAAGGGACGGTAATAAGCAGAATGCGGAGTGATTTAGCTCGGCCTCGCCATGCCTCTTTATTCACATTTAAAAAAATAAATGGCCTGTTTGCCTTTCCATTAGTGACAGCTGGTGATGCTTGGATGGTAAATGGATGTGATGATCATGATTACATACACATTATATGTCTATTTATATGTCAAAACAGGCTGTATGTATGGCTTTTATTTCAACTTTGTTGTGTTTAATATGCAATGGTAGTGTTCATCTATTCATACAGTATATTATCATTCTTGTTAAAGAGATAGTTCTGTATGTTTATAGTGGGATTGTATGAGGTGTATGAGGCTTTTAATGGCAGAAGAAAATGTAATTATGAGGGAGCAATGATAGGTTCAGCTCATGAAATGGGTTATTAACATGAGTCATCAGAACCATTTAATGTTCTTAATCAGGCGAAGTAGTCCTCTGTGATGAATCATTAATTGCTTTATGCAATGGAAAAAAAAACCACATTAATCAAATGTTTACTAATGTGTAGAAATAAGAAAGAAAATAATCTAACATTTTATGCAGAAGCAAAATTAAGATTAGTCAAATAATCAATCAACAAAACATTTATCAACCCCAAAAATGATGACGTCAAATGATTCATTTTGATCATCGATCACACACAAAATCTTCTCAAATTTATTTATATTTTTATATATATATATATATATTTATTTATATAGGATTTGCAGTTTTTTTCTGTTCAGAATAGCTTTTTGTTTTTGAGTCAACAAAAGAAAAGCTATTAAAAAGAAATGTAATGAAGCCACCTTCAACTCTTGTAGTTGTGATTACAGTAACAGTTATTCTGCAATTATAAAAAGTGTTACAGAAAATTTGTAACGAAAGGTATTCGATTAGGCGGCTGTGGCTCAATTAGTAGAGTTGGTTGTCTCTCAACTGGAAGTTTGGGGTTCGATCACCAGCTCACATTTCCGATGTGTCCTCGGGCAAGACACTTAACCCCAAGTTGCTCCCACTGCTTTGTCAGCGGCGCTTGAATGAATGGGATCAGTTAATTCTGAAGGTCACTTTACATCATAGCAGCCTCTGCCATCAGGTGTGACCTGCGGTGTAAAAGCACTTTTGAGTATTTAGAAGACTGGAAAAGTGCTATACAAGCTCAAGTCAAATCTAAGCCCATTTGATTTAAGAGAATTATTGTTTCATGAAGTAGCTGGTCAAAAACCTGAAATATTGGGGCGGACAGATGTGCAGAAACTGGAATGTCTGTTTAAGCTTGCTAATTTTGTTTCAAAAGCTTGGAAAGGAAAACAGGATATTCTGTTTAATTAGTCTGACTTGCTTTTGCTTTCTCTTTTTGTTTCTTGACAATTAATAAAGTTTACTGATCCTGGTATGTTTTAATTTATGGTGTCATGTAAGCCAATGCGGGCTGGGGTTATAAATGTATATATCTCACAATAATAAAACAAAAAACTTCAAACTTCAAACCATTTATGTAGATATTTGATAAAGTAGACCACACAGAAAGAAGGCGACTAAAGAGGCTGTGACTTAAGACAAATGAAAATCAGCTCGGGCCTCTTGGCTATAGTTGTATTATTTTTGAGTTGTTCACTCGTTGTTAGTTATTTAGAGAATGTATCATCACAGTTATCGCTTCCTAGAGTCTTGTGCTTCAGGAAACATCAGGAATGTAGCGTTGGTTAAACCCAGAGGCATGAATAAATGAACTCTTGTCTAAAAAATGCATTCAGATACAGCCTGCAGCAAACACTTCTCATCGACTAAATCATTCAGTTTGACCACTGGAGTCTCTTTGGTTCATGTTTATTATCTGCAAATAGCTGACAGCCATGTCTTCCAGACTGACATTGTGAATATTTGCTGAACACACACTGGCTGCGTGTGTCTGGGTCTGTGTCTGTGTGTATACTGTATGAGTGCAAACAATAAAGTGAAGTCTCATTTCAGATAGTTGCCAAAAGCTGTTCCAGTTGTTTGACTTATGTTTCACAAGTCTGTCTCTGTTTTGTTTTTTGTCCCTGCCTCAGCGCAATAATGAAACTCGGCAGCATTTCCTTTGACTTTGTAATTCAAGGCTGTATATTTATTATGGTTTGTGCTGCAGAAGGGCAAAATCTGCAAAATGGGGCCAATTTGCATCTTTTGTGCTGACTTGGCATGCATCCATGCATCGTCATATAGCAAGCTTCTTTTTATATGTTTATTTACACTTCAGTTTTTTACCCTTTAACGAAAGCTGAATGAAAACAGACACATCTTAAAGGTTTGAAATGTCTTCCTCTCTTTTTATTGTAACTTCAAACGAATTGATAGACATGCCTGGTCTGAATTCATTTTTTTTAATGACACAACCTTTGTTTAAAATCAGTTTCATAGAAGCGTTCGTTTTAATTACAGTTGAATCATAGAGGATAAACCCGGTGGTTTATGACCTATACTAAAGCCAGTCAGCAGGGGGAGCTCTAAATAGAATGGCTTCACTGCCAGGCAGCTCTTTCTCCGTCCATCTTATTAAACAGTTCAGGGGTGCGTTCGAATTGTCGCTCCTATCTCCTTTCACTATCCACTTTACCTAACCCCGGGGAAAACGTCATGAGGTTAAGGAAAGATGTTAGGAGAATTCATAAAGGACTTAGGGAAAGGTGATCTCGTTGCTCTGACAATCTGACCACATTTTCCACTAGGCAACGTAATTAAATACGACGGGCCGGCGGAGGTTAATGGCGTGGGTCTTTAACCTCCTTTAACCTCTTTAACCTCTGCCGTGTTGAAACTACAATGTTCACATCATGGACTCCTAAAAGCGCATCTAAAAAACTTTCCCCTGTGCCTTCTTACCGGTGAAATAATCCTGATCACCACGAGGTTGGGATTGAAATAAAAGAAATATAGGCTACCAGGCTACAAGTAAAAAAAGTGAAACCATCACCTTCCTGTCCACTCAGAAATCAACATCAAGATAAATATGATCGTATGAAATTAATTGTTACATTAATGCATGATAAAGCCTACACATAATGTTTTAAGCATACAAATGTACAACTACACAAAACATTAATTGAATGCAATATGTTGAATAAAACATCATCTTTGTCACTCTACGATCATCGTTAATGTTCGTGAACGGTTGGATGCACAACTCGCTTTAAATGTTGCGGCCGCAAAGAATTGTGCGGCGTCATATCTCATCTCCTTTCTTAAAGGATTGGTCCAGTGTATCCTATGCTAAAGGAGGTTATAAAGGAAGCATTGACCCACCTTTCCTTAACTTTTAGAGAATTCGAATGGCTCTTATCATGGCCGCCACTTAAATGCTTCCGGGTCATTTCACTCAGTTAGGAACCTTCCTAAGCAAAAATGACAATTCAAACGCACCCCAGGTCTAACCCTACAGTACCTCTCTCCCAGTGCATGCTGGGTAATCATCAGTCTAATGAATAGAGCTTTCACAATACAAGACTTTTAAACTTCAGTATGAATCTAGTAAAAATCAAATTATGTCGATACCTGTTTGGATACCCCCGCAACAAAAATATAAGTCCTTGGCACCCAAACTCCTGCACACTGACTAGATGTAAAATAGTTCATCTTAGTGCTCTCTCTCTCCTTTGCTCGCGGCAGCTTAAATTGGTTAAAGATATGACTGAAAATGTGAGGTGCTTTAAAGCATCGGTACAATAATAGAGAGTGTATCTTTTTAAAACATACACCGTATGGTATTGTCATTTTGACAACATAACTAATGAATGAGTATGACTGCAGGTTCTTTCACTTGCTTTTTGTTACACTTCTTTAACCAGCCACCCGTGTCAGTCTGTTAGATCATAAAACAGCATGTGACGTTATGAATGGCTGCCTGATGAGTTTTAGCTGGCTTGTTCAAAGCTGAAGCCGAGTTGTTAGAGTCCTGTTTGAGTGGTGCTGGATGGTTAGTTTGCAGAGAACAGTGCTAATCCTGGCTGAAGGCTTGTATGTGTGTTTATCAGACTAATACTAGAGTGCGGTGTCAAAACCTACCAGGTGTAGATGAAGGCTAATTGAACAGAGCAGTTCTCCTCCCCACAATGCCTCATTCACATCTCAACCCTCCCAAGCGTGAAGACTGCCAATCAGCCGGACTTATTTCCAACTAAACTTATTTGCATATTCATTTGTTCCTTTTGGCAAAAAAGGTTTGTTAACATGCAAAGTCCGAGACCCAGAGTGACACCGTGTCAGCTGTTGTTTTGATAAGATTGATGAGGCACTTGACTCTCCACCATCCAGTGAACAGGAGCTGTGAACGATTGAGATTTTCCCTCCTCGAGTAATTTAGCACGTTAAAGAAACAAAATGCAATATGTGCCCATTAGACTGCTCCTGCTATAGGGGTTTATAATTGAGTCAGTATGTGTGATTGGTTCAGGGGGTGGGGTAAGGTGATTGTTGTTATTTTTAAGTAAACTTGCCTACTCATTAAAGGACCTCAAACTGGGCTGCATTAGGCGTTTTTTTCTGTCACTGTTTCAACTGAATGTAAACCTTCCACTTTGTGATGCAGAGCCTCACTACATGCAAAAAGAAAAAAAGATGAGAAACTGTCTAAAGATCTGAATTAAATGATAAAATTACCTTACTATATCATCAGACATTAAGGAAACATGCTTTGTTGAAGTGCTGGCTTCTCTCTCAACAACGCAGCAGCTAGTTTGTCCTCCTCCTCGGTTTCGATTTCGGTGCAGAATGGTAAACAGAGAAGTAGGCGGCACCCTAACACGGCGCCGTTTTGCCTTACGCCACTTGGTTTGCCAGGCAAAAGTCAAACTAACAAGTTTTGGAGCGATGAGAACGGCCGAGTGTACTTGTTCAGATACAACTGATTCTACCTGACCTAAAAAGCCTCTGCATTTACAAATAAGCTCGAAGACGTAGAAACGTGGTAAAACTAGGATAAATATTCGAGATGCTTCTGAATATTGGAGATTGTTGGACCGCGGAAAGATTTCAAGACCTATGCAGGTGCACCTGGCTAAACACTGAAGCTTCAATGTCCGTGACATGGCAACCTGTGAGCACAATGACTATAGGGAGGAGGGGTGGTGGGGGGAGACGGCTCTCTCCAATGTTTTGAATTTGGACTGCAGTTCCCATTTTAAACGCTAGGTGTCAGAGTTACATATTGGTCCTTTAAAGCAAAAAATTACTGTCATTTTCTAACCAAATGTGTGATAGTCTTATTTAAGATAAGGGACGCACTGACGATTGTTATTGGGCGATGCATGCCCTGTTGACAAAACATTTACCCATCTGCAAATAATGTGGCATGCAATGTTGTCCTTAGTGGATGTGTATCTGTTGTGTGGAAAACTCTGATTTGTTTTCATGGTCAAATGCGAAAGAAAATATTGCCGGTGTGGGACTGTATCTACACAGTACCTGCATTCTCTGTAATATGCTCAGTATATATAAGCTGTTTGTTTAAAGGACAGATCTATTGTTCTAGTATAATATTCTGACAGCGTTACTCATGGCCCAGTTTTCTTCCTAGCAAAAGGTTGTGCCTGTTGTCTTCCTTAGTCTGGACTCTCCGCTATCAAGGAGAAAACACACCATAATCACAGTGACAGGAAAGACATCAATGATGGGGAAAACAAACCTCCTGAGCAGCTGCGGCATGGAGAGAAAGAGCTGAAATAGGGAGAGGGTGTGCCTCCAGCCTTCAGATATAGAAATGGAACAGTTTGCCCAGTGGCCTCCTTAACAATACTGTGCTTTCTGCTGTGGTGACAAGAAATATTCTCAGAGGAGAACCCATGCATGACTATCTTAGCAAAATACCAAAGCTGTGCAAGCCTCTGATAAGCTGATGATAAGTTGCTTTATGTAGGAAATTGGAGCTAGACTCAAGTTCCTGAGATAAAAAAGGCTACAGATTCAAGGGAATTTGGAGAAAGGGTTTCATCAAAGGATTAACAACATTGCAGTTTAATAACATGAATTTAGCCTTGGATGTCCAAAATGTAGTGTCCAAAGTTGGTGTACTTTAGTGTTGAAGTTTTCCTCTTATGTAGGATGGCAGCTGCAGTCAGCTTGGATTCACAGCAGTCAGTTCACGGTAGATTCCCATGGAGATCCAGTCACGGCAGAAAGCATAAAAATAATTCCTCCCACAATCTCTGCAGCAAAAATACACTTTAACATTGATCTGTATTTCCCTAACACTCAAAGTTCCTCCTCTACAAAGCTAAAAACACCACTTCAGCTGAGTGCTGCGTCCATTTTGCCTTGTAGCACCTCCAGAAGCATATTCTGCAAATTACCGGTGAATGGATGATAATCCTTAGCATTTGGATCAATGGTTTTAAATTGGATTACGGTTCAGGAGTGTTTTTAAAGAGGCTTGTCTGGAAACTGTGATCCAAAAATGTTTTGCAGTCACTCAGTGGGGCTCTCACAAAAGTATGGCTTTGTAAGGAAAACATTTTAGAGAGATGAGGCTAATAATTAATCAGCAGGCAGTATCGGCATGACGGGAAAAATCAAGGTAAAGGATGCGACGAGTACCACAACTGGTTGGTGCTTTAATAATGAAATAGACATGCTTGCATACAAAGTTTGAAACAGTTGCACCGACAAATCATTCTCCATACCAATTTTTAAAAACACATCCCAGTCAATATAAAGCACTTTGACCTGCAGTTCTCAATATAAAACTGAGGTAAACACTAAGTCCATTATCCTAGAATATAAGGAAACCTGCCTCCTACAACATCACATTGTCCCTCTTCGGTGGCTTGTCGTGAAAAATGTCAGATGTCAGCATGAATCAGATGTAGCCTCTGTGATGTCATTTGTGGACTGGGTTCAAGGCTCAAGTTTAGCATTTCTTTCCTTCGCCATGTTGGTTTTATTGCAGCCAGAAGTGTTGATATTTGGATGACATGCTACTTTAAAAGGTTTATTTTGGGGCTTTTTGTGCCTTTATTTATAGATAGGATAGATAAAGTCAGAAATCTGGGAGAGAGAGAGAGTGGGGAATGACGTGAGAAAGGAGCCACCGGTCAGATTTGAACCCGGGCCTCCCGCTTTGAGGACCACAGCCTCCGTATATGGGGTGCGCACTAACTACTAGGCTTCAGGGGGACATCATTGCTACATCTCTATTATCATTGAGTGGTTGAAGTGGAACACTGCCTCATTGCTTATTTAATCATCATTTACAAAATGAACAACAAGCTGTTTTTAAGAGGAATTTGAAACAGACTTGAAGAAAAAGAAAACTCTTGAAGAAAAGTTATAAAGAGTTAAAATCAGTTATAACAAGGCAGGTTAATTTATATAGCACATTTCAGACATACAGTCACAAAAAGCATTTTAAACATTTCACAAGATAATAGTGGAATGATAAAAAGTTCTAAGAAGGCAATAAAAAGTGAAAAAAGTGAAAAAAATGTATGTTTGTTATGTTATCTTACAGTTATGTTAATGTTCAGATTTCTTTATGCACACTGTGGAATTGCCCCCTGCTGGCCAGTAGAAAATGCAGGTTTATGCACTTCATCGTTGGAGTCACAGACCCAGAGACTGCTTCCACTGCTTATATAAAGACTTTGTGTGAAGCATTTTATTGTTCAGAAGGAATGCACTAAAAATATAAGAAGTAATGTTTTAGTCGTTTCATAAGATTGCAGTACTGATTGAAAGCTTTCAGTCTGAAGGTTTTATTTAAAAAATGAAACCACTTGTTGTCTCAACTCTGTAGATCTAATCATCTTAATTTCTCCCTGTTTCTCTCCTCCTCTGTATCTCTGCCAGCAGATAAAAGCAGCAGCAGCAGCACTGTGGTGAAGCATGGTGCGATGGAGCAGCGTGAGGGTCCCCGGGGCCGTTGGACAGCCTGCCACGTCGAGCTGACACCCTGCGAGCTCCGGCTCTACACTCTGGACAGCAGCGCCAACCGCCAGCTGGGAACCGCCTACTCTCTGTCACACTGCCAGAGCGTCATCTCGCCAGCTCCCTGCAGCCAGCCGGGCCAGATCACCCAGCCCGCCGATCAACGCACGCTGCAGGCTTTGTTCTTCAACAGCACGCGTCTCCAGCTGAGGGCGGCCAGCCAATGGGAGGCGATGGAGTGGAGGCGGTTGATGTGGGAGAAGGTGCAGGCAGTCAGACCTGTGAGGCAGGAGAACCGCCAGCGTAAGAGCGGATCAGAACACCAACAGGTTGTTAAGTTTCATGCGCCCATGTCCCCCTCTTCATCGCCGTCTCCTTCAGGGCTCGACACCAGGCCTGATGGAGACAGCGACACCCCCACCTCCGCAGAGGCGTCGCTCTCTCAGCAGTCTCTTCCTGGTGTCCTGAGCAGACCCACCACCCTTCCTTTGTTCACCCAGCGCTGCCAGGACGTCCTCAAAGCTGGTCTGCTCCACAAGCTGATGGATCAGAACAACTGGAGAGCCTTCACCTTCGTCCTGACTAGGTCTGCTCTCCGGGCCTTTGCCACAGAGGGCCGAGGGTCTGTGTCCCAGCCTTTGCTTCAGTACTCTCTGTCCTCCTGCTCGGCTGTGCAGCACGATCAGGAGCCAGAGAACGGAGAGCAATGGACGGATAGAGGTGATAGTTTCCAGGTAGTTTTCCCGAAAGAGGTGCTCCGGCTGCGGGCAGATGATCAGATCAAGGCTCAAGAATGGGTGGAGGCCCTGCAGGAGGCAGTCGGAGCGCAGAGGCCTGCCCGAGAAGAGGAAGGAGGACCGGGGGAAGGAGCTCCAGGCCTCCAGGGGGTGCTATTGAGATCGAAACCATCCAGAGAGAGGAGACAGAGGGATGCCCAGAGAGCCAAGAGGCAGTCAGTCACCACCAGTTTCCTCAGTATTCTCACCTGTCTGGCTGTGGAGAAGGGGCTCACTGCTCAGAGCTTCAGATGTGCAGGTAAATGACCTACACATTAACACTGACAGGCACACACACAAAAACACACCCACCCCAAAAATACATAGACACGCAGAACACTCTTTGTCACATAATTGTTATTATGTTGCTAATGTTTGCTAAACTTTTGGTAAACTTTGACACCTTAGAACTAAAGTGAAAACTTGACCTGCAAATAACAATACGGAGCTACATCTGACGTCTCCTCTGATACCCCTTGTTTTGGTATTACACCACCCTGCGAATGAACAGGATTAGACGTAGGAGGCCAGGCCTGTCTCAATCTGTAGCTATCTGTGGGACCTTTTATCTTCAAAGTGGAAATGTTCAGACATAACAGTCAACTGATTTTTTTTTTGCTCCTCGTGTGTTTTCTAGTACACAAAAAAAGTTAACACAACATTTAAAGGTCAATGTTTAAAACTCTAAATGTTTCTATAGTTCACATATTATACTCTTTCAACAACCTTAAATACATCTAGAGGTCTCTGAAGTCTGGGAAGTTTTTCCAAAAATCCACTCTGATCCTGTATTTGGTCACGCCGATTATCCCTCCTCTATTTCAGCCCTGGTCAGAACAGGCTGCTTCTGGGTCTGTAGCTTTAAATGTAAGGGCGCGGTCACACTGGCCATCCGTACCGTGCCCAAGCACGCTTCAACCCTAAAGTCCAGTTCGTTTGGCCAGTGTGACCGTTCCGAGCCGTGGTCAGGCACGGTACTCTTCATGCACGAGCACAAGCACGCGGGTACACAACGCTGACAGCCTTCATTATGGAGAAATCCAGAGTTCATGGCTGCATCTGACTAAAATGAAACAATTTAAGCCACAAAGTAGCTGTCATGTTCTCTGTGTTGTTCTCCGATGTCACCACAGACTCGGCCGCGCGTCTATTTTATTTTTTAATTTCTTTATGGCTGTGTCTGATAAAAATGGCTTAAATAAACCGCAAAGTCAGTAAGTAGCTGTCATGCTCTCTGTGTTGTCCTCCGATGTGCAGACGCAGACTCGACTGCGCGTCCCTCTCTCTCTCTCTCTCTCTCTCTCTCTCTCTCTCTCTCTCTCTCTCTCTCTCTCTCTTTATTGCGACGTTATGTACAAGAGGTAATCGTGCTTAAGCATGGAAAGTCCTGTGTAGTGTGACCGTGGGCCGGGCTGGCCAGTGTGGGAGTGGCGCAGCAGGGGGCCAATCGTGCTTGAGTACGGCACGGTACAGATGGCCAGTGTGACCGCGCCCTAAGTGAGCTGTGTCTGACCACACCCCCTCTCTGGAAGAGCTTGGGTGGCTTGAGCTTCCTCGCACCATGCCCAATTGTTTAGATGAGAAGGCAGACTCAGAGGCCAGAACAAACACCTTGCTGTGGAAGTGTCACCCACCCGGGGGAGGGGATACCGCCCTTTGTGATGTCATGAAGGGAAAATCTCCAACGGCCTGTTTGAGCACACTTTTTCTGAAAAGTAGAGCAAGCAAAGACGGAGAGAATTGACTTTTCTTATAATTGTGGGGTTTGTAGACAGGCTAGGTAAACATGTTAGAAAAACATGGTTTTGTGAAGTTTGCACAATATGTGACCTTTAAATTTAAAGGTGTAATAACCTTGCACCAGCTGAAAACCCCTGTAAACTGAGTACAACATTTCTTGCACTCTGAGTGAAGGGAAAATCTCCAACGGCCTGTTTGAGCACACTTTTTCTGAAAAGTAGAGCAAGCAAAGACGGAGAGATTGACTTTTCTTATAATTGTGGGTTTGTAGACAGGCTAGGTAAACATGTTAGAAAAACATGGTTTTGTGAAGTTTGCACAATATGTGACCTTTAAATTTAAAGGTGTAATAACCTTGCACCAGCTGAAAACCCCTGTAAACTGAGTACAACATTTCTTGCACTCTGAGTCATTTGAAATATATATATTTAAGTGGTTCTATAATTCTCATCTTGTTGGACAGGTTCTGTATCTATGAAGCTGTCTCTGTGTATTCCTGTCTGACAGAGGTTCTGAGTGTTTTCTGTATTCACTCTTCAGCCTTTTTTCATGTCTTGAACCATTACAGCCTCTCTCCCTCCTTTATTATTTCTCCTGCCAGGCTCTTGGACAGTCCCACAAATGGCAGGCGGTGCTTTTACTCTCCGTGGGTGTGAAACGTGGGCTTCCTCGCCCTCTCTCAGAAGGGCTTTGAATAATCACCGCTCACCTCCCTTTTTTATTTGTAACAACTGGCTTATTAATGCAGGGCTGTTTGAAAGGCCAGCTGAAACAGGAACAAGGACAGAGGCCGTCTGGGGGCAACTGATGATAATTGGTAGGCTTAAAGCACCGGAGGAGAGGAAAAAATGGTTGAATGAATAAATGAATGAGAGCGAATGAAAGCGGCCCCGGGATGCTGCAGTGGTCAGGCTTGATCGTAGTTGTTTGATTGAAGGGTTTCTGGGTAGAGCTGCATGGGAGGGACAGCTGGATACCTCCATTTTCTATACAGAGCACACCTCTGCTCGCTCAGTGCGTTTGTTACCCTCCTTTTCCTCTCTTTGTTTCTTTTCCATTTCACCAGTTCATTCACACTCACAGCCTTTCCCTCTTTTTGTCCTCCTCTGTCTCCCTTTCATTAATTTGACTGTATCCCTTCTTAGTCTCCCGCAGTCTCACTTAAAAGGTCCTGAAAAAGTCTTTTACACCTTCTTAATTTTAAAGCCTCAGAACTGAATGTGAGTGCAGAGTTCTTGTGTATTTATCGGCTTGAAGCTGAGGTTTTTTGTTATTTTTTACCATTATGCAATTTGTTTTTAAATCAAAATTTCAAAAGCTTTAAAGTAAAAATCTTAGGTTAAATATTGTTACCCAAAAACATTTTTTTAACTCCTTTTTGAGAGTTTAGCCACTGTTTTTGTATTTATTACGAACAGTTCTGTGCTGAACACATAAGTATGTCTCCAAACTCACTGTCCAAATAAGAACTGGTAAAAAAAGGCGTGGAGAGAGAAGATGAATATCAGATATAAACCTAGATATGAAATATGATTCTAACAACATCTGCAACATCTGTGCAAAAAAAACAGGAACAATGCAATGTCAGCTAATTCTAGTAATTGAAAATGTATTCCTTTTATATGCAGTAAATGGTTTATGTCTGCTAATCATTGCTTCAATAATCAGAAAATAAACTGTTCATTTATCTTAATCTTCATTACCTGCTCTAAGCATAAACTGTGAGCTCTGTTTCTTTCTGATTTCAGACACTAAACTTGTTCAGCTGAAGTCGGAATTAACCGACAATGTTTTTAAAATGGCAACATAACTGCTTTATCTTAAGGTTTGCATCGCCTTAATTACTCACCAGACTCTCTCAACTGAATTCAACTTACCATGAATGTAATGAATATATTCCAGATGTGAGTGCTTTACTTATCAATTAGATATTAGTCTTTTTGTAGTGATTTGTTGGAAAAAAGAAAAAAAAAACATGGACGTAGTGCCAGTGATGTCACCCACTGGTCACTTCTAGAGGCGTATGAAGCCAAACAATGGCAAAGAGGTAGAGCTGAGTCGGGCCTCTGCAGCCTCCTGGCAAACAGCTACAGCACATCCAGCTGTCAGTAAACATCCCTAATTATGTAAGTGTATGCATAACTGTGAGCCTAAAAATAATATCAATAACAGAAACGCTATTCATAAAAAAAAAAGAAAATCACTCCCGTACAGTTTTTATGAACACAAAAAATAGCTACAGATACCAAAAATTGTTCTTTGGTAGGCTGTAAAAATCTTTCATTTTTAATTGTTCATTACATTATTTATCTAAAATGGGCATTTTGACATAAAGGTGAGTTTAAGGTTTTTGTAGCCTGCCTCAAGTGGACAACAGTGGAACTGCAGTTTTTAAAACTTCTGCATTGGCCTTACAAAAAAAACGTCAACATTTTACTTCAGGTTTGATGCTTTTTCTATTGTATTGATGAGAGACACACTAACTGTCTTACTGTTGATGATAAATTGACTATTTTACACACTGTGACATCACAGGGTCACTTAGGTCTTATGGAAGAAAAAAGGTACATTGACATAAAGCGATCACTACCTTACTGTAGACCTGACCGACGGTGGTAACCTGCGCTGTCCTTTTAAGCTTCATTGTCATCAAAAACATTCATCTTGTTATAACATGAATGCCTAAGAGATTATTCATATATGAAGCCACTCATCTAAATAGGATCTCTTGATGGAAGCGACCGCAGTGCCCAATGGTCAAGTTTCCTCTGATTTCTCTTTGAACTTGTTTCATGTCTGCCCTTTGCATATGCATGCTGCCTGCATCCATCTATACATATCCAGTGATTGGTTATTTAACATCAAAATGTAAAATATATGCAACTAATTACACTTCTGAATTACTGCGGTTTTGTTTTCTTTGAAGAAATCGTTCAGTGTTCGTTTGAAGACCATGACTCCCCACCACCCCTCGACACACAAACACACGCACACGCACACATTGCAGTGTGTTTCTGGGGTTTGGTGACCCCATGTCGTAGCACTGGAGCACATTCTCAGGCCCCCGACGGACCATGTGAATCTGTGGGACAGGGCAGCTTTGGGTGAAGTGGTAATCAGTAGGTATCAGGGAACTGAGGAAGTAGGTGGGCTCACATCAAAGATAGACAGTCTCTCCCTCTCTGCCCACCTCCCCCGAACACACACACACACACACAACACACACACACACACACACACACACACACACACACACACACACACACACACCCACGCTGCCTGTCTTACTCATAGTACTCTCCATTTGTGCACATTTTCATTTGAGTGTTCGGTCGTTGTGAATGAGACACATCAAAGCTCAGGATTCTCCTGCTTCCTCAGTTTTAATTCAAACATATGTACATAAAACACACACACACACACACACACACACACACACACAACCCGTGTGTTGGTTTAAAACCTGCGGCGGGCAGATGAAAGTGTGAGCCTTTTTTTGCCCTGATGTTCTCTCTCTTTCTCTCTCTCACTCTCTCTCTCTCTTCTCTCTTCCTGTATCTGTATTCTCTCTCTCTGTTCGTCCCAGAAAGACTCATAAAAGATCAGAGAGAGGCAGAGAAAGCAGTTGTTACTCTCTGCTGATAATGGAGGATGTATTTAGCAGCACAGAGTGTTAATAGTTACTCCTCAAGATAAGAAAAGCCGTACTCATTAGGGTTGTATTAGCAAGTCGAATATGGAAAAAAGAAATCGTAGCAAAATGAATAACATTTAAATTTTCTTTACAGCTAGTGTTGTGCGTTGCACGATAATATAAACAATAACACAAAAAACCCTGGTATCCATTTCCATGTTAACAAGGTTACCAGACCAATTCAACCATGTTTCATTTGGATGGAACAAAACAGATTATTTCCAAGTAGCAACCTCCAGTCTTGAAAAATGTATTTCTGGTATATTTATCTACTTATTTATTTAAACTGCAAAAACTTGGTTGAGCTTGATACTCCAATCATACCAATTTAATACCAATTTTTAGGCTACTGACTTGTGAAGTATTTAATGTAATATTGAATGGCCATATTTTAATGTGATTTAAAAGTATTGAAGCCTAAATGTTGGCAGCATACTTTGACATCACACAACTACTTTCCTTTTGCAGTTCATGCAAAGAGTAGTGAAACATTTTTTTTATGTACCTATATGCTCTATTGGCTACGTTCTTCCTTATTTGCATAAATGCATTCATACAGTGCTATAATCTGTCCTCGTTGCTTCAGACTTAAATGTTTCCTCTGGTCACTGGTGAGAATTCCTGACTGCTCCTGAGGTTGTTTTGCTGCTTGTTGAGGTTTTGGTCCGAATCAGATTTAAATGCTCGGTGTTGTTTTGTTCTTGTTCGTCCATATTCCCACGTACATTATCTGTTCTGGCTTTACAGCTTGTTTTTTTTATGTGCACATTGTAGCCTGCATAGAATCCTTTTTCTCTCTGTTTGCATGTGGGTGTGTTCTCCTCTGGTCTTCATGATATGGAATTTGAGGTTAAAGGTTGTCATTAAGGTTGCGAATGTTTTCAGGCCACATACGTATGTGTCTTTGTCCCTCTGGTCCCGGCAGAAGCTGACCAAAATCAAGCCGTGGTTGGCCAGAAAGGCGGCCTGGCGGTCAGCTGTTTCCTCGAAGTGACACACTGTTTTTCTGCCTTCTGGCTCAAAGACAGTGGACTGTGGGTTTTTTTCAAAGAGCATCCACCCCAACAACAGCATGAGCTCACTGCTTTAATTATATGATTTAAACACGTGTGTTTTATCAGGGGTTCTTCAAAAAGATAAGACTTTCTTGTCTTTTACACTAGCGTATCCACAAGCAGTAAATTCACCAGAAGAAAAATAAATATCCATTGTTTGAACTTTGGAAAGCGGTTATATTTATCCTGATAATTTATAGATGATTGCTGTGTTTGGAGAAAGTAAAACGAGAAAGAGATTGGAGCAGCCAGACCACATCTGGAGGTTTTTGTCTGACTCAACACTGTGATCAAATGTTTGAGGGGCATAAATGCAGTTTGTACAGTTTAACCACATGAGACAACATATAAGTTGAAAGGCCACCTAACTAAAGCTGGCCTTCAAAAAGCTTCACTCAACTGTGTCTTAAGCAAAGAATAGGGAATAGAGCTATAAAGAGGCATTCCTTTGGGATTATTGGGAGGGACCAATTTGACGTTCAAGATGATTGTGTGACCGATGGGGGTTGTTGGGTTGGCACCATTGTTAGAAAGCTTCTCCTTGACAAGTGATGTTAGCAATGCAACCAAAAAGACTTCTGCCTTGCACTCTTGAGTTTAGAATTTGAGTTACACACAACAGGAGCTCTGCAGACAATGTGTGTGTACACTGACTAATATCTTCAAACAGTTCTCTTCATGCAAGTGTAGCTAACAACCTGCTCTTACACATCACATCTTGACTTAACTCTCATCATCATCATCATCATCATCATCATCATCATGCCTTCTCAAGCTGCATGTCGAACTTTAAACAAAGCCAATGCTTGGTAAAGATAGGCGTGGAGATTGCTGTCATTGCTAACCTCTGGTTACACTGAAAGACCTTCTCTCCCGGAGGCTAAAAACAGCTCCATTTTGATTTTATGACTGGTAGGTGTTAGCCATAGTTAGACGCGTGGCTGACATGATTGACAGGTGGGCGCGTTGTAACGGTTCGTCAAGTTAGATTAAAACCCGCCTCAGCTATAGCTGTCAGCCCGTTGTTAGGTTGACTGAACGTTAGGCTGGGACAAGATTTCCAGCATGCAGCCTCTTAATATTTACAGTCTATGAGTGAAACAGAAACAACAGGCCTCAAATAAGACGCCAACCTCTCTGAACCTGCTGTGTTGATACTGTGTTGGGCTATAACTGAGGTATGCTATTTATTCAAATCTAGCAGTTCAAAGATGTTACCCTCTTAGCGTTGGACTCCTTACACCAAAGTATTAATCTAAAATGTAAAAGCTAAAGAACAGAACTAAAGGTCTTTATGATAGTTAACATGTTTTAACTATAATAACCCTACAGGGTCTGTGTGTGGCTGACGGGTGCACCATCATGAGTTTTTCTCTTGCTCAGATAAAACAGGAATCCAGCTGATTAGACTATTGTCTGTTTTTATCAGACGTCAGATGATTGTCCCCGATAAAAAAAAAAGTATCTGGACTAACATCTCTTTATTGTCTGCGTCGGTTGATGTCAGTCTCCTTCTCCTCAGGAACTTCTTTCCTCTCATCTTCAAAATCCTTATACCTGTTCTTTTTTTATTCTCCTTTTTTCAGCCTGTGTTGTTTCCAGCGTTAAAGCCCCTCTGACAAACAGGCTGACACACGTCTCTCTTCCTCTGTCGTCCGTCTTTTTTGTAGCTTTACATGCCTATGTCTTCCAGAACCGAGATAGCAATCTCCTGTTCCTTTTTCTTCTCTTCCTGTCTTCATTTGCTGTTTTTCTCCGCGTCCTCTCAGAGATTTTTTTTGCGGATAAGGGACACCTGTTGAAGTGCAGCGTCACTCAGCTGTTTGTGTGTGTGTGTGCGTGTGTTCATAGAAAAGGTTCAGGTGTTTGGGCGGAGGAGGAACTTTAAAGAGTGTTGAAGACAAAGCAGAGAGAGGGGAGGCTATCAGGCTGAATGGAGCTGATGATCTGTTGGTCTTTTATGTCTACAACATGCTTTATTGTTGAAGTCTGCCGTGTTGTGGCTACAGAAAGAACTTAGACTCTGTTATTGAAGGGCTTACGTTAAATCAATCCGGCAGGTAGATTTTGTAAAAAAAAAAAAAGCGGATGTTATAATCATGTGGATGACTCAGTGTTGGACATCCTGATGGGATGATGTGTTTGCAGGAGTTTTATGGGTAGGAATGGAAAAAAAAAAGTCACAAGTTATCTTGTTGCTATTTCCAGCATCTCCAATTAATAACCAAACGTCAAAAGAGTGAAATTGTCATTTTAGCAAACAGGACTTCAATGACCGAATTTCCCCCTGGGATTAATAAAGTATTTCTGAATCTGATACACCATCTTCAGGTTTAGTGATTGAGACCTGAGACACAAAGATTCACACACACACACACACACACACACACACACACACACACACACACACACACACACACACACACACACACACACACACACACACACACCAAAACGGAGCGCTCTGAGAGAGCTGGTTTACACAGGATCACAAACCTCCACTGATGCTCGATTCTTGTTATATTTTGACCAGAGCGCTGCACAGATGTTTCATTTAGAGCACAGGGGACTGTTTGAAAATGTGGAAAAGGGGTCTAACATGTCCTCTTTAAAACCTAAAAATAGAAATAGGAATAGGAAATGAAAACCCTGATAGAATAAACACCCTTTATTTAATGATTTCTCCACAACCTTTAATCAGAGTTAGACAGTTCCACGGTTTTTATCATCACTTTCTACTGGTTATGATAAAAGCTATTACCTTATTGGGGTCAGAGTCACTTTTTAAACTCAGACTTCAATGTGTGTTATCTACAGGTTTCGGTAGTCTCGATTAGCAGAGGCAATAAACGGACACATTTTAACACCAGATTCTTTGTTTATCAACCTTATGGTCCTCCTTATCTTGTTGTTGTCACCTTCTGAGCAGGCTGTGAAACACTAAACTTTTACTTGTGCAACACTTCTGGTCTGTTTGGACACAATACATGCACGGTAGAGGAGTTCATCAAGGATATGTTTATGGAAGCAGTCATTTCATCGCATGGTGGGTTTAAGTGAAAGAGACGGAACTTGATTCACAAAAAAGGGGTTAAAATGGTTTCCTCGTAATGACAGATACTCATTTTGAATCATACTGTATCATACTTGTGTTTATTACACACACACACACACACACACACACACACACACACACACACACACACACACTAATTCAATGACTCCCCCCCCCCTTCAGGTTGTCAGCGTCCGGTTGGTCTCTCTAGAGGGAAGGCAAAGGTCTGCTGCTACAGCGGCTGGTACTACTGCCACAGCTGCCATCAGGACAACTCCTTCCTCATCCCAGCACGCCTACTCCGCAACTGGGACACCAGCAAGCACAAGGTGGGACATCACCCAAAGACAAAATGAAACATCCATCACCTCATCATACATGAAGTGACCAGTCAGCACACAGTTATCAACTTCTTTCTCAGTGTACTAAAATGCTGCGTGGTGTTTTATGGTGCTGCACACTTTAATAGCTGTACCACTCAAACTTTGTGGATCGTATTTCATTTCTGACCGTACTGAAAACTACCTGCCACAAAACAACACCGCCCCTTCTTTTGTTTAAACACTCGGCTCTATACTGTTCTTTGTTATTGTTCTTTTTTTTTTTAGAGCAGATGGATGGATGGATGGTTCGATGACAAATCTGATACAACTGTAATGTCAGTCAGGTCGATATGAATGCACAGCCGAAGATTTTCACATAGCTGAGCATAAAAACGCTAAAAGAGAAACGCTAACCTTGCTCTAGCTAAAAGTTCAAAAAAGAAACAGCTAACAGCTCCTCTTAAACCAACTCACCTTTGCATTATATTTCTTTGTTTAGTCAGAGCAAAACAACTCGTTTGTGTGCAGTTTAACTTTAAATGCAGTCGTGCCTGTTGCAGCGATCCTCGTGTAAACTCCGATGTTCACCCCCAGGTGTCCAAACAAGCCAAGGAGTTCCTGGAGTTTGTGTACGAGGAGCCCCTGCTGGACGTGCAGCAGCTCAATCCCTGTCTGTACGAGCACTGTGAGGCTCTCAGCACTGTGCTGCGTCTCCGTCAGCAGCTCCAGTCGCTGCGGGCCTACCTGTTCAGCTGCAGAGCGACTGTGGCTGAGGACCTCAGACGAAGGTAAGAAAGCAGTGATGTCTAAGATGTTTGCCTGAAGCACTATTAAGACAAGTTTCTTAATTGAGGGCTCTAGTATTTCTCCCAAACCCTGATGATACAGCCGTCTGCACAGGAGACATCAGCAGCCGGTGTCATCCCACTGACTGATGGACTAAAATGTTATGTTGAGCAGACACTTCTTCACACAGGCTGTTTACATCTCCTGCTGTGATATGTTCATGTGTGTTACATATGTATGTTTGAGTGCATGAATGTATATTGCCACAACTTTTATCTGCATGTATTCCTGTGCTTTGTGTGCTTTATATCATGAAAGATGTGTGTATGGTCATGTGTGTGATGGTCGGGGGGGGTAAATGTTTATCTGAGGGGGGGTCCCTCTCTGAAAGCCTTGTCTGTTATCTGATGGATGCTACTTGGTCCGGTCCAGGTCAGCAATACACTCTCATTCAACAGGCCATGTTTAAGGGTAAAAATCCACATCCGCAGACGCACAGGAATCATGATTGTTTACAAAAATATATTTTTCTAAATTTTCAGCAATGCAAAAAAAAAAACCAAATTTCTGGAGAACAATCTTTATTGGAAGTAATTTCCAATTCCTTCTACGTCCTTCTTCTTCTCCCTCCTCTTCTCAGAGTTGTAAGGAGTAGACACGCACACCACTGATTTTACAGACTTATCACACCTCATAACCATTGTTATTGTTAGTTTATTGGCTTAATTTCGTTTACTTTGGTAACTCGTGCCCCCTCCCATCTTTCTGTCATGGCCCATGAGCCGGGGTTATGACACTGAAAAAGAAACACAGTGATGGTTACAACACCAAGATTAATATATAATGTAAAAGTCTCAGCATTGATGTGAAACACAGAGATCTGTCTCTGTAACTTGGTTGAGCTGATTATTTCATTACTGGGGATGAAAATAGGCTGTACACAAAATAAAAGTACTTTATTGTTCCTTCAAGCTGAATTAAACCTTTGACAGCCGTTTTACTGTCAGGCCATTATTATATTCTTTACATTGCATCATAGACTTCAGTCGTATAGCTGACAAAGCAGCCTACAAATCACATCAAAAGACGGAACATTAAAGACTACAAAAACATCAGCTGTCAGATGCTAGCCACGCTAATATTAGCCTTTGTACTGTTGAAAATTAAATGGCACAAATTGACCTTTACAATGGTTATGTACCTAAGTAGTGTTACTTTGTTAATCAGTGTTTGTCTCTATGATGATTCAAGACTCACTGTATGACAACTTTTTTCATTCTACTTTAACCCTCCCAGTCGAGCCTCCTGTCAGTCACCACTGTCAACTTTTATGCTTTTTGCAGGGCTGGCCGAGTAGCTTTGACCCAAACCTAGGGGTATTTTCTTCTGAGGCGAGCAGCATCATGATGTTCTGTGTTTACTTCTGTCCCATTAGCTAGTGCCGGCTAGTGCCCCGCCACTTCCAAACACTGCAGGATTGATGAGGGCCATGGCGCTAAAACCTTCCTCTTGTCATTAGTCTCCTTCAGGGGGGGATTTGAGGAGAGATGTCTGGTTGCAAACAGGCAGAGAGTCACAGATACACAATCATACAGACACAGACACACACACACACACACACACACACACACACACACACACACACACACACACACACACACACACACACACACACACACACACACACACACACACGAGGCACTGGAGGCTATAAGGTAGAAAAGATGGGTGGTTTCTGGCCCTGTGAAGGAGCTCCCAAACACTATTTTGAGGTTCATCCTTGATAGTGTGTTGCATAAAAAATGTAACCTGCTTTTTTTAATGCATGGGAAAAGAAGTCTAATGTAATTGTAAACTAAGTTAACTTTAATGGTTAAGTTGTTCTGACATCCATATCTTAGTGACAGAAATCTTATTGCATTTACACAAATAGGGAATAAATCTGTTGCTTAGACTGAATTAAACATTGATGTAGTGTCAGTCACGTCAACCATTGGTTTCTGGATCGGTGAATTCAAGCCCAATACAAATACAAATAAAATGAAACCTGAAGCAGCAAGACTAAGAATGTTAAGGTGATCTGGTGCAAAAACAGAAACAGTCATGAGCTATAGAGACTAAAAAACCTTTATTGTACCAGGCGCTAAACATGTTTATTTCTGCTGAGAAAATGGACATTTTAATATGGACTCTAATGGGGTTTCCCTGGTTTTTAGAACCAGCCTCAAGTGGGCATTTGGGGAACTGCAGGTTTTTTTTTTTTTTTTAGCACTTCCACATTTGCTTAATTTTTAACCACCTGAGGTCGCAGCTTGGTCTATAAATTACGAGGATAAATGCCACACACTTATTTTTTTACAACATGCATTGCAACAGTGGGCCAAGAAGTAACGTCAAGGCGGCGTCTTCCTGGTCAGTTTTGTCAGCTAAAATAACAACTGTTCCCCGCATGTTTTCATTCACAAGTGCAGTGTTTAGTGCAAGAGTTGTTTCATGGAACTACAGTAATATCATGTTAAAAGCATTAGTTCTTCTTATCCATGTAATTGTATTTGTACACACACACACACACACGCGCACACACTGGACTTCTCAGGTCTGCTGACTCACACATTTACTCAGGTTGTACCCTCCTTGAGTAAATAATCCTAATCACTGTGATAAGAAAATTTTAATGTGAGTCTGGACTGGTGGGTCCTCTGTTTGTGATCTAATCTTTAAATGTGTTAGTTTTTCAAGTTATTTTATCAAGGTCAGCAAACACTTTCAGGGCGTGTTCATCTGCACCCTGGCTACACAATCAACAAAGATTTAGCGTGTGTTTGATTGTTGTTTGCGTTTGACTATTGCGCTGACTGTGTGTGTATTGTCTTATGAATGCTGGTGTGGTAACCATTGGTAACATACCAAACAGAGAAGTCAATCAGTGCCGCCTATCACCATGAGGCGTTTGGATCAGACACAAAGACACACACGTACACGCACACACAGTATCAATGCATACACATACTTGTGTTTCGGTGACACTCATCACAGCTCAGACAGGATTTAAAAGTGGTGCCGTCCATCTTAGTGGTCTGAGAGGAGGCCTCACAACCGACACATACTCAAAGACACGCTCACACAAAAAACCCACACCTGCCTGAAAGCTCTGCTGTGTTTGTTTTTCCAACACTGTTAGACGATTAAATGCTACAGCTGACTGTAAATGAATATGATGACTTAGTTGAGCACCACGGTCTGAGAGGTGGATCAACATTTATTCAGGTTAATACTCATGTGTTTGTGGTAATGGTTCCATATTAATGTGTTTTAAAGATTACGCCGATATAATAACTGGACTGCACAATCATTTTGTGTGTACTCAGTGCCAGATTATCAGAGGCAGTCAGTCATTTAATGAACTGGTTCCCTACCTTTTTTTTTTCCTTGGAGCTTATCATACTTTTAACCAAGTAAAGCTTCTACTTTGGTGCAACAGAATAAGCCTACACACACACACACACACACACACACACACGATCTCACCTGAAGACCTTTGTATAAGCGAACCATCAAGTGTGTTATCATGATTTTAGTTCATATGAGCAAATATAATTTTGACAACCTTGACAACAGACAAAGCCTCCCCCTCCCCCAGGAGATCTCCGACCTCAGGTTGGGGACCAATGAATATTCACATGTGTAATGTAAAAACAAAAATACAAATAAAGTCATTCAGCCGGTTTATGTTTGGCAGAAATAATGCAAATAAAACACAATAAATTCTACCTTTACATTTCTGTTTTTTTAATAGGCTAAAATTGTGAGTTGTCAAGTTACAGTCGATGCAGAATGTACCGATGGAGGTCTCTCCTTTGTGATCACATCATTTAAACAAACCTAAATGTAAACTGCCATAACTGGGCTTCACTGCCAGTCCAGCTGCTTTTTTTAGGATTGATGTATTGATATCTTATTGACACTGTGTTGTATTTCTGACTCTTAATATTCTACATTTAAAAGTTTCCTTCATGTGTCTTTCCACAGGATCTTTCCCAGGGAATACCTGCTACAGCACATCCACCTTTACTCCCTGGCTGACCTGCAGCAGGTACGCACACATCGCTTACATGTTTGTTAACGGCTATTCAGCTATTTGGTTTCAGTTTAGACCTCAGACCTGGTAGGTTCTTCTCTTGAGAGCTAAGTTGAAGATCTCCACATTGCTGCCTGCATGTCGACATTTAGCAACAACGTTTGACTTCCTGGAACAAGAAACACTCCTTTCCTTGGTGAAACTTTTTTGGGGGTGAATATCTTTTGTCTTATCCTTTATTCAACATCGTCTTTGTTTCTTTGGCAAGTGCCTGTCACAACAATGATACGAGAGGCTAATACCCTCTAATAGGCTCAACTTATTTGTGTCCTGATTCAGGAAAACAAAAGTCTCAGGGGAAATCATTCAAACCGAGTGACTTGGAAAACTTGAACACTGCCCTGTGTGTTTTTTCAGACATATTGTGCACTATCACTTTTGTGAAGCGGTATGTTTCTTATCTAATTACAAACACTCATTTGTCCTCCATTGAAATAAGTTTACCACAAAGAAGGATTTTCTAAAAATGTTGAAGTGTTGTACGAGTAACGTATGACTAAACAGAAATTCTTTGATTAGCAGAGATGGCATAAAAAAAGAAACACACTGTGGCCTCTCAGCAGTTCAGTATCTCGTCCTCGAGCTGAGTTGGGGGGTCAGAGAAAAGCGACCACAAATGACTGAAAAGTTCTTTTGTTTGTCTTTATGTTCATTGTGTTGGACCCTGCCCCATTTTTTTTTCCTCTTTTTCCCCCCCGTCTGTGAGTCAGAGCTCGACCAAAGACGGACTCTCACGCTGAAAGAGATTGAACCCCCTCCTCCTCCTTTTTTTTTTTTTTTTACCTCCTCCTCCTCCACTCCCACACTCTGTGTCTCTCTGCTCCACTAATTGGTCACATTCAAAATCAACAGGCAGGAAAACAAAGCGTGACATCCCTCCATTCTTCCCAGCATCCCCTTGGCCTCACACACTCTCAGCGCACATGTGTGCGATGTGTGTGTGCGTGCCACTCTTTCCCCGCTAAACTCTGATTTACTCATAAAAAGTCCAAACTGGTGATTTAGGGCTAATTTTAACAATAGGCCTCTTTGGTAAGAGTCTCTACTTCTCCCTCTCCTCCTCCCCTCTCCCCTCTCCCCTCCTCCACCCCCCCTTTGGAGATTCTCAAGCACTCTGCCTCTTAATTGGTTTTCCATATTAACAAGCTTGTTTCTTTTGATTCACCTCCTGAATAAAATGACGCTCTTAATCAACGTGGCTTTTTTTGTTCCAGCTCAGAGGTCAGCGAAGGCTAAACTCCCCTGGCTAAACCCAGGACCACGCTAGTCTATTCACTCACCCGACAAATAGCCTCCACCCGAACCCCCCCCCCCCCCCCCTCTATAAGGAGGCAGTTCATTTGGAGAAAACATATGTGTTTATCTAAGGACACTGCCCTTTTTTTCTCCACTGGTTTTAAGATTGTTTCTAGGGTTTTTGTGTGAGGGCTAAAGTAGTAGGAAAGTAGACGTTTGTTTGTGTGTGTGTGTGTGTGTGTGTGTGTGCAGCAGGCTTCCCAGAGCGACACCCTGGCATTCCCTCTATGCCAGGCATGCCTCTCCACTCACACTTGTCCTGACACACAGAGGCCTCTTAAGTAAATGTTAGATGTTCTCAGAGCGTTTTCCAGATTCTGCTCATGGCTTTGAGTTTAGGTGGAGCTCATGCACACAAACGCACAACACTGCGATGTAGGATGAGGGCTAAGTAGGATAGCATGAAGGTTATTCTCATGTGGAAGTGGGGACAAATGGTTCAAGGTTTTGTCAAGAAATAGCATAAATAAAAACAAACCTAAAACTCAGACGTCCCGCTCCCCATCACAGTGAATGAAAGAGCATAAAAACTGTAACTGCATGAATCATATTTAGTAATAACACCCTGCTGAGCTTCCCTCCTTTTGTCATGTCCTAAATCAGAATAAAGAGTGAAAATAATAAGAATAAGAAAACAACTTAATATCCTGTTTATTGTTGAATGATAAGTAACGAGGTGTGGAAGTAAAGAAACGAGGATTGGAGTTATTTTAGAAACACTTTGTCCACGAGAGAACTCTGACAAGTAAACAACAAGATATGATGAACTCTATAACCTTATTTTCATTCATACAAACTGATATTTAGTGTCTTTTTTTGGAGAGATTACTCGGCTGTTCACTTGCGATCGGACAAAATATCGATATTGTCCTGACTCAGGTGATACAATTATCAAGTTGCTGGTGCCAAATATACTTTATGTGTCTTAATAAAAAAGATAATCAGTCCTCTGGACAGATTTCCCTTCCATTTAGACTCACCACGTTACCACTTAATGACTCCTCATGGAGGCTTTTATGACGTAAATGATCGTAACAAGAAGTAATTTTTTTTATTCAATGAAGTTTTTTTGTGGTTTTATTGTGGAAATCCAAATTAACACACTTTCATCTCTTCAATCTCAACCTCTGTTTTTGTGCAACACCACATTTAGATGTTGTCGTACCTTCATCAGTGGTTTTAAATGTTACTTTTTATTTATTGCGTGTCACAAGTTTAAGGTTTGTTTAGTGATCCACCACAAAGGCATCGGCTAAACAAAATAGTCCTCTTGCTGTTTTTCGTCTTATCATCCGGTTGGTTCCCCCCAAAAACTGCGGGGAACTCCCTGAAAAAGACAGACTCCACCGTGGGTACACTGTCAACATCCATGCATCAAGTCTTCTCTGTAAGTGTGTGTGTGACAGAGCAGAGGAGCGGAGAGTGTGTTATCCAAACAGAGCTCACCCTGCTCTTTCCAGCCATGTAATCCCAGCTGGCTTTCTGGTTCCTCAATGGAGCTGCGGTAGTCTCCAGTGTGTGTGTGTGTGTGTGTGTGTTTGTGGTGTGTGTGTGTGTGTGTGTGTGTGTGTGTGTTAGAGAGCGAGAGAGAGAGAGAGGAGGGCAGGCGAGCGGCTGTTAAACAGCAGTTTTAGGGGATTAGGAGGTTTTGGAGCACAAAGACTCTGCATGGAGCAGAAAGAGAGGTTGAACTGGAGGGGAGGAGTTTAAGAGGATGGATGGAGGGAGAGGAGTTGAAGTGTGTGCGCGTTTGTGTGTGTGTGTGTGTGTGTGTGTGTGTGTGTGTGTGTGTGTGTGTGTGTGTGTGTGTGTGTGTGTGTGTGTGTGTGTGTGTGTGTGTGTGTGTGTGTGTGTGTGTGTGTGTGTGTGTGTGTGTGTGTGTGTGTGTGTGTGTGTGTGTGTGTGTGTGCGTTTGGGGCATGTTTGGAGGGAAAGAGGGTTAAGGAAATGAATACAGTTGCAGGCTTTGTTACCTGGGTCGCTCTACAATCATCGTGACTATGATCATGCAGTATGTGTCAAAATGTAGTAAAGGAATTATCCAGCTTCACATTGCACTTTGTTTTTTAAACTCTAGATGAAATCCTTCATGTTTTCTCTTGGTATTTGTTATTCATAGAAGATCCTATGAGAGGCTCAGGTGGGCACCTTGACTAGATTTGAAGAGCTAAGGGTGAGCAGGGAAATTGTCAGTCCAGCAGCAGTATCATTTAAGGACAATGATTCTTGGAAAAGCTTGTTGAGATTCAACATCTCTTTTCAAGTGTCCTGGGCTGGCCGAGAGAGGCAGCAGCACGGTTAACAATTTCCGACAGATAATGAGCAGCCGTAAATACAAACAAAATACATGAAGCTACAGAAAGTCACATCATGTAATGACCTTAAGAGCCTCCAGTTAGACCTGAGTTTCAGCAGCTGTAAAAACATTCTGAAACAGCGTAACAAAACTCAGCCGCCCTTACGTCTTCGTACGCTCATGTTGATTCATCAATGACGTAATGTTAGTGTTCCAGTTTGTGAAGTGTAATTTCCGTGAATTTAGAGAGTGAGCTCCACATACACACACACAAACACACACACACACACAATGCGCTGTTCTCCCCCGCTGGCTCCTCTGATGCCGTCTCGCCCCCTGCAATGCCTCTGTTACTACCTCAGATGGAAGTACAGAGGTGGGATCACGTCGTCGAAATTTTGTGCAGGTCTAAAAACAGCTTTAGATTTTAGACACCTGGCGAGATAATACCATCCAGGAAAAAGAATAAAGAAAAAATATAAACCTCTCCAGTTTTCTTGTTGACCCCCCCCTAACATGGACTGTTTTGTTGTTCTGCAGAATCCACATTCAAACAAATAATGTTTCCAACTCCGAGCGCTTGACAAAGATCTCTGAGATGTTTGACTGTTTTCGTCCCCCGACACTCCAGGCGGCCATCAATATTTGGCCTAATTGTTGTCCTGTTTAGACTCTGGCGAGTGAACAAATTAAAGGGTCAAAGCTGTGAGTCTCTGTCTGAGGGATTGTCCCAGCGTGACCCCGTGTGTTAGTGCTGCTCTGGTACTTTTGGTGAAGCTAATAAAACAGTCACTGGCAAGCAGTAACAAGCAGTTGGGCTATAAACATTTTAAAAACTTGGAACAGGAGATGTGCAAAGTTAGTCATATATACAGTATGTGATGATATAACTGGCAAATCTGTTTTTTCTTGGTAATCGGGACGTTTATATACAAGAAGACGTTTTTCTTTATTTCAGTATTCCTCCTTCCATTTGTTCGTTTACCTCCTCTACTCTGCATCCATCCATCTTCCTGTACCTCCATCCTTCTTTCCCATCGTCCCTCCAGAGTACCAGTCAGCCACCAGAGCTGGGCTGCCAGTCGTTTGATTCTGCCCAGTCCAATTATAGAGCGACTTAATTACTGAGCCTGTCAGCCTCCATCAGGAGAGCCATTCGTCATGTGGACCGGGCTGGACCAGGACTGATCGCGGCTGCGCTGGGCAGAGGGGGACGCATTTATTTGTCTGTCACCGTCCGTACCTGCACGCCCGTCTGTATTTCTGTCCGCCTGGAAACATCTATCACCTGGACAGAGCTTTTTCCTCAACCACATACAGAACATTAAACTAGTGAGAAATACCATCTGTGCTGAAGGCAGAACAAACAGGTTCAAATTATTTTATTTCCTTCAAAGTTCAGATCTCAGCAGCTTTATTTAACAGAGTGATTCATACAACAATTTGTTTCAGCTTGCTGAACAAATTTTTTTGACAAACAAACCTGTAAAAGTGATTAACTGATTCTGCCCAAGTTAAAAGCATATTCCTGTTAATCAGGAAAGAAAAGAAGAAAACTTAAAGAGAATTTCTTTAACCTCTATTTGGGCTCAAATGTAAATTCAGATGATCTTTCTTGGTTTTAGGTCACTTTGACCATTTGGCACACTTTTTTAAAGACTTATTTTTTGGAGGCTTTTTGTCCCTTTCTTGAAAACCGGTGACAGAAAAAGAAATTGGGGAACGACAGGTCGGATCCGATCCCGGGCCTCCCGCCTCGTGGACTACAGCCTCTGTACATGGGGTGCACACCCCAACCACCCGGCTAACAGCCCTCACATATTGCACACTTTTCACCAGAACTCAATAATTCATATGGTCATTATGCTTTACAAGATACTGTATTACGAGCTACACGTATCACATTGACATCATACTCGTTTGGGTCGTTTGCCACTTCCATGTTATTCCATTTACGTCATGTCTTCTCATCCTCTGGAGATCCCCCCCCCCCCCCACTGAAGTTTGATACATTTTTAGGAGTACATATGTGAAAAGAGCTTTAGTGGCTGCCATCCTGAATGGTTATAGATGTGATTTAGTGAAAAGCTGAGCTAAAGCAGGAGCTTCATGTTGGTTTGAGATCGATAGTTTTATCGTTCCAGGTTGAACATTTCAGCACAGTCTCTGAGTTTGAATGGTGAAAGCCTGAAGTGTCAGCCAGCGATCTTAATGTACGGCTTCACAGACTTTGTTCCTGCTCTATGTAAACAAGATCACTATGCATATGTACGTGTGCTGTGTTTCCTCTGAGTGTGTGTGTGTGTGTTTTCTTCCTCCTCGCTCCATCTCACGTCCTCTTCTTCTCCTCTCCTCCTCTCGTCGTGTAACAAACAGCATGAAGGAGGTTATAATTGGGAGGTCCAGAGCTCTGCCAGGTGGAACCACTTGTATGTGAATACAGACTCTCTCTCTCTCTCTCTCTCTCTCTCTCTCTCTCTCTCTCTCTCTCTCTCTCTGTTTCTTACTCCATGCTCTGTCCTTCTGAAACATTAAGTGTCTCATTATGCTGCAATATGAAGTATTATGACAAAGCTTTGCCAACATACAGAGTTTTTATTCCTGTAAAATGTCCGAGCTTCTTTGACTAACTACTGTCCTTCTTCTGTGAGTCATCCAATGTCTATTCAACTCACCCCCCCCCCCCCCCCCCACACACACACACACACACACACACACACACACAGTCAAACCCCCCCCCTCCTAACTTGTGAAAGAAACTTCCCAAGCGTTTCCATTAAAAGACGTTCACTTCAATGAATGGCTTCCTTCTTCCTTCCTTCAGTTTCTTCCCCTTCTTTCTCTCCTGTTTCCTACAAATATAAGAGCTTTAACTAAACCGTATACAAAACTGTTTCTCTCATTTTTTGCACTTTTTTAGAGTCATGACATGACATTCAGATTTGTTTCTTAATGTTTTTAAGATTTTAAGGTCAAACACACCCTGGTCTGTTGACTCTCTGCCATGAATGCTTCATAACCTTAAGTCACCTTTGTAGATGAAGCAGTAAACGCTGATTGTAAAGAGTGAGAGTATCCAGTTCACTACCCAGCAATGACAGCATTATAATAGAGTTATATGCAGATCTGTGTTTCTCAGCAGACCAGACAGAACTAACATCTTGAAATCTTGTGTTGACCATGTCTCTTCTCTCTTCTCTGTTCTCTCCCTCCAGGTGATTGACGGGAAACTGGCTCCCTTCCTCGCCAAGGTGATAAAGTTTGCCAGCTCTCATGTTTTCAGCTGCAGTTTGTGTCGAGAGAAAGGGTTCATCTGCGAGCTCTGCCAGAACGGACAGGTCATCTACCCTTTCCAGGAGAACGCCACCAAGAGGTACACACGCTCAGACGATCCTTTAACTCTGGGCTGCTCATTGATTTTATTTTGAATTGATGAGGTTATTTTTGTTCTAATCAGACAAAGAGCTGTACTCTGTTCTGATAGTACCCAGTGAATTTAATTTCATAAATCAGTGTCGGATCCAAACATCAAAAAGCAAAGGGTGATCTGTACTAGAGGCGTCTTTTCATGATCTGCTGGTGTTATTTACCAGCGTTCACTCTTAAGTTTCTAAAAAGGTTTCATCTAAACTCATTAACAGAGTTCATACAGATTTTTAAAAAACAAGAACGTTCAATGAATCTCTGACACTAGCTGTGTTTTGGTGTAAGATGACACAAGTAGAGTAAAGGGATCATTTTGTATCAAAAATCGAAACGTTTTGTGACGCTGGAGAAACATAATGGATATGTCAGACGTACCAAGTAGGGGGGCTGTTGTCCGGGGGCCAACCGCCCTCCAGATAGGCCGACCTGGAGTGACTCTGACCTGCCCGGCTCCTTCCTCACATAATTACCCACTTATCCCTGTTTCCCACTCTATCCACTGTCCCATCAATGAAGCCCGAAAAGGCAAAAACTCAACAACAAAATGTTTTTATTTATTGTTTTTTTACTTGAGGAAATGACATGCTCAACACAAAATGATGTCAAAATACATTATATTCCAAACTTTGTGACATTTTACACACCTCGTTATCTTGACCTAGATTTGACCTTTTTAAGGTACTTTTTTTTTTTAATTATAGATTTTTTCATTTCTCACAAAATGCCAGCCTGCTAAATGTTAACTGTGGCTCCTTACAAACAGGATGTGTTTTTCATTTCTTGATGATATGTAGTTCAAACTTTGAGGATTCAAACATGTTGAAATCAGGTGAACAAGCCTGCGTACAGAAGCGTTCCGCATACACTTGTGAATATATAAAATGTTAACAAGATAGTCATTTCTGAATAACAAGACAATGTTTCATGAAACAGTAAATATCTGTTTTGTTTTTATGAATTTACAAGTTCAATATCTCGTTCAGAAAAACAGATTTTGTTCTTCATAAAAAAAGTTTTTTTTTCCGAGAGAGCTGCCTCATTAATTCAGAAAAACAGAGAAGATATTCATTTTCTCAAGTGATGCAACACGCTTCCACAGCGTTGGCTATCTTTCTGCTGATTGGATTTCCTTTCCTGCTTGTAAAACCTTCTTCAGTGTCTGGCCAACCTCGAGGTATCCTGATTGCAGAAAACTTCCTGAGAGGTTCTTGAGAAGGCACTGAATGAATTGTATCAGGAGCCATGCATTCCTTCTCCTCGGAGCTGAGCACCTGTATAAAAGCACATAATGTACTTTTTGATATTCCTCCGGAGGCTGATATGTTGAATAGACTCGATAATAAGGCATCATGGTGAAACTCAAAGGGAGAACATAAAATTGACAGAGTAGTAATGTCACTGCCTCAGTGAGCAGGTAGATTTATTTGAGGTGCAGAGCCTCAGGTTGTGTATGTGTGTGTTTCATGTTTTTACATGCTCACTACCTGAATGCTTGCTCATGTTTTACTGTCTTTGTGAGGACCGTTTGACACAATGAGAGTGAGGACTTATTAGATGGTTGTTTGAGGGCCAATTCATCCAAATAATACAATTATTTAAAACTAGGTCACGTCCCCTCTATACCTGCAGATGGTTTTGCTTTAGATGAAGCTTTTGCCCAATGAAATTCAAAGTAAATAGATTTTTTTTGGAGCTCCCATCATGGAACAACATGGACTTTTACAATATTAAACACTTTCTTATTGCACTCATTTTAAAGGAGTCCTTTACAAAACATGTCAGTGACCAAATATCAATGAAGCTGTCTTGATGTTTTCTGTCTTACAGATGGGTGCTTCTTTCTTGAGTACTAAACCAAACATTGGGCTCATCAGTTTCAGAGTCAGAAACCAAAGATTTTGTTGTTGTTTTTTGCTTCTTTGTTTCATTTCTTGAAAAACAGGCGGGAGGTCAAAGCGCCTAATTAGCACCTCTGACAATAAACCTGCAAACCCTGTTTAGACGTTAAAGGATGGACAGGTGGAACAGTTTGAAATGCTTAGTGCTCATTTTACATCTTCTTCTGAGTGTGCTTGTGTGTGTCTCTGTGTGTGGGTGTGTGCGCGCACGCATGTGCGTGTGTGTGTATGTAAGACATGGACATTAACACAGTCCAGATACCCGTCCTGGACACTGAAACTCAGAGTGACAGACAGCAGAGCGATAAGAGCCGATCAGGACTGATTCTTAGAAGACTCTGACACTCTCAGTCTGCACTATCACTTTTACACACACACACACACACACACACACACACACATTCCATGTTGAGCCGTGCTTTCTGACTTGTGAAGTGTGAAGTGTTACCTGATAACAGCTGTGTGTTTGTGCTGTTCTTACCAGTAACTGAGCTGTAAAGCAAACAAAGATCTCTTCATTTTTTCCTTCCAATTTTTAATGTGTTGGAATAAAGGATGAACGCATGTTTTGCCACATGAACAAAGAAACCTATTTCTCCAATTTGTTTCAGTTCGCTTTCACTTCTTTTGTGCTAAAATAACCCATCAGTCTTACAGGTGAATCATTTATAGGATGCAGAATAAACACATTGATTATTACATTATTTACTTAGACTCAGGATAATAAATGGCTCACTCATGTGAAATGTGTGGTTGTAGTGATTGAAGTTGGAGAAGTGCTTGTCATATATCATTTACTACCCTTGATATTGTGTGTTTGTTTTTATGCTGTAATAATGTTTGTTATAATTAAACTTACACCTGACCTGTGTGTGTGTGTGTGTGTGTGTGTGTGTGTGTGTGTGTGTGTGTGTGTGTGTGTGTGTGTGTGTGTGTGTGTGTGTGTGTGTGTGTGTGTGTGTGTGTGTGTGTGTGTGTGTGTGTGTGTGTGTGTGTGTGTGTGTGTGTGTGTGTGTGTGTGTGTGTGTGTGTGTGTGTCTCCAGGTGTGACGGCTGCGGCGCCGTGTTCCACACCGAGTGTCGACTGAAAGCTCAGCCGTGTCCTCGCTGCGTCCGGCGAGAACTCCACCACAAAAGGCCGTCCTCCTTCTGGTCTCCGGACGACGACAGCCCCGGCTGCTTCCACCTGCCCTACCAAGACACCTGAGACACACACACACACACACACACACACACACACACACACACACACACACACACACACACACAGAAGTGCCTGTTTTGCTGATTTGTGTGTGTCTCCGGAACAAATTGAGGGAGCAGAGGGCGAGCACGGAGTATCTAATGGATCTTCAGGTTTGTGTTTGAGTGGACTAAACAAATTCCCCCCCCCCCCCCTTTGTCCTACTGTACAAAAAAAAAAAAGAAGAGGAAGAAAAGCACGCTGCACCACACTTCTAAATCCTCATTCCTTCAGCACATCTCTGTTTCTTGGTTCAGGGGTTCAACATATCAAATCACAACTGATCAGCTGAAACAATTCAAACTTAAAGTTGGAATATTTTCTGGATTTACTCAAAGCAACGTCTTGCAGCTGCCTCCAAAGTCCCACCGAAGTTAAACAAGATAACAGCGAATCCAAGGACAGAAAATGGATGAACTTTCTCGCAGATTATTCCCAGGGTGCAGCTTTTTTTCAGGGTTTCATCTGCTGGTTAACCCAAAAAAAAAAAATGGTCATTTAAAAACACATCTTGTGTCTCTGGTAACATGCGACGGGTTTTTATCTTTGTTAACGGAATAATATGATGAAAAAACTCATTCATTATGAAAGAAGCTTAAATAACCTGAAGCCTTGGAGGGACGCGTTTGTTTACTTCTTTACAGAGAAAAAAAAGCAGCTGCTGTGATGAACGTGGATACATGTCAGGAAAATATTTAAGCCTAATTTTTTCCGAGTATCTGTTAAAGATTCCTGACTTATAAGTGTTCAGATCCTTATCTTTTTAATCATGAAATTGTGTCTCTCTGTCCTGCTCTGTCACAGCGAACCTAAAAAGGGATTTTTTGTGCAAAAGGCTGCAGCTATGGATGGTGAGCACTTCATTTATCTGACACTGTCCACTCATTTATCTGACGCATAGAGTCGGTAGGACAGCGACATCCACAAGCTTCAGGAGGTGTGATGTGTTCACTGTTATTAATAATTTAAGATAACAAGCGTTTCATCAACAAGGGGAAAAAAACTGACTGAAGCCTCCGTTCAGTTGGACTTAAAGTCTCGACCTATGACATCATCGCCCCCCCTCTATCAGACTACAAACTCAAGTGTGACTCATCATCTCTGAACAGTGTCAAGCTTTGATTTGTTATGACATTTAGATAGATTTATACTGCCGCATCAAATCTACGCAGTGGGTTCATGTAGCCTGACCTGCACCTCCTCAAAAGTGTAAGTGAAGCCCGATGATTGGTCCCTTGGATAGCATCTATTTCCTGCTTTTACAACATAACGCCGTTTTCAAAATTCAGCCGAAAGAAGAACGCTAGACCGCTATTGATCAGCTCCGTCTGCAACATACTACGCTCAGTTTCAGTCGCTATGATTTCCTGTACACAAACAATCAGAGAATGAGGCGGAGCGGGACACTGGCGGTATAACTAGCGAGGTAATCGCACCGCCAATCACAGGGCGGCGTATTGAAGAGCAAGTTTGTAGTGCTCACGATGGTGTAGGCCACTACAGCGTAAATCAAACACAGAAGTATAAATCATGCTAAAGGCGTAAGAGCTCAACAGAACTCCTCATACAGAAGGTGTTTAGATGTATTTCTGGGAAATGTAGTTTATAAAAAAAAATGATGGCGGCTTTTCTTTGCAGTGAAAGAGACATTTATAATCCCGACTGACCACAGCTGCTGTTGCTTTGTAAAGAAGTAAATGACAAACATTGAACGGTCATGTGTAAGCCTTTACGAGGGACGATTTGATTGGCTTATTGGTTTACTCTGATGCTCTTATATTGGGAGGTTTTACTAAATATCAATAACAGTAAAACGATTATAGTGAAAAGCTGTGATTGAAGTTTAGCTTATCTCCATCTCCTTTCCTCAAACTGAGTCACTGAACTTATCGATGTTTTGAATCACTTATCATGTAAACTTTCATTTAAAGGGACTCTGTCAGTGTGTCCGAGCACATCATTCTTACTGTAAAATAACAGGCAATAATATTCTGTCACTTCTTCTGTCATTGATGTCTTCTTCTCCTCTCCTTCCTCTCTTCTTCTGTGGTTCTACTCTCTTCATGCAGAATCTATCGGACGTGATGGCGGCTTTAGCTTTTAGTATTTCTATGCAACCTAGATGGCCTTCATAACCCTTTCATGTTTCAACGTCCGGACACACCTTAAGTTTACACTTTTCCTAACGACACCTCAGCACCGTTTGGGATCCTATCCTACAATTTACAGAAGTTTAAGACAGACTTGTAACTCTCACCTGGTAGTACCTTTAAAATAAACCTCACAGGCGTTAACATGTTCAATGGAGAACTGAAAAGGATCAAGATTTTAACAAATTCCGTGATTTGTTTTGTCTCACACAGTTTTGGGTGGTGATGATTCTGATCACTATAAAAGTTAATATTGATAGTTTTAACTTTTTTTTTTATTGTTGCTACAAAAACTCAAAAAATTCAAATTTGATCCAATCAGAACGGACACTTTTTTGGGGGGTGTGGAAGAATAAAGACTTTGGTTCAGGTTAAAGCTGCTCTCCCTGATTTTGTTACAGGAATTTAAAAAACAAGGCTGTGAACGGTTGGTGCTTAAATTTCCACATCGGGAGGAGTTTTTAAATCATCATAACAAAGTCATAATTTGCAGCTTTAAAGACGATTGTGTCTGAATTTTAAATAATTGAATTGAAACGTAGCTGCTGATTTATTTCCTCTTACCTCGTCTCAGTTCTTTGTGTTCAGTCTTTGCTCCTGTGTTTCCTTTTCATCCTCTTCGGTTTCTCATCTTGTTGGAGCCATACAGATCATGTTGACTTGTGAGGGAATAAGCTGCTTTAGTCTGCACTGGAAGAAAACCCTCCGTTTATTCGGGCTTTATAAGGGAATATGTATTTTTGTGGAAAGAAGAAATCTGAAATTCATGCTTATGAAGCATGAAGGAAACTTGAGACTGTGTTGTTCACTCAGTGTTGTTAAAAACGGGACGGGGAAAGTGCACTGATTTGTCAGGGTTGTTTGTTTTTTTTTGGCTATGATTTTTTTTTCCTTTAGTTTAAGTTATCGTTGGCTGAATGTGCCTGCTGCATAAACAAAGTCATGAAAGGTTCTTAAACCTTTTGTTGAAGTATTATTTAATGTGTGATGTCTGTCTGTTTATTAATGTACCGCAGAGCAAAGCAGGTTCTAGGAATACTTATATGTATTGGGTTTTTTTTACAAAGATTAGGAGCTCTTAACGGAGCGCTGACCCTGATTACCCAGAATGCTACTGCCAAATGTGAGCCCTGAAACCTAAACCAAAATATTTGCTTGACTCAGATTTCTGGTCAAAGTTCTCCTGACTAGGATCAGTAATGAAAGAGCTCAAACTAATACAACTAGTTCTGGAAATAAACTGTTACATGTGAAATATTCAAGAGATGCTGAGTGTTAAACTACGGAAGCCCTGAGCGTACATGCATCCAGACATTCAGTTTGCTCGTCTTAGTGATCTGGACTTCTTCATCTCATGTTCTCAGAGTTGCTAAAAGCACAAAACAAACTTTAGAACAGGCTCAACTTGGCTCATCAGTGCGGGCTATGGCAGCACAACCAGCCGAATGTTTTGTTTTCTGATCTAGATCACCTGAAAATGATCCCGTTATCCCGGCGAAACCAGCTTTGTTATCACGAGATAATGAGATGAATGAATCAGTTTAAAACAGCGTTCACATTATAACTGATTAAAGAGTGTAAATGAGTCAAGATCTGAAGAAAACCACCAGAAATGAAGAGAATAAAATGTATGGTTGCATGTGAGTTTAGAGCTTCAAAATGTAAAGGTGCACTTTGGAGGTCGAGAAATGTGAAAGTTGGAGAAATGTACAGATTCTGTGGTCTATGTTCATAACTCTGTACACAAACTGTCCTCAGAGGAATATTTGGTCCCTGGAAAACAGTTTGAAGTTACGGTGGTGGTCCCTCAACAGTGAAAGCGTAACTCTCCTGGTAGCTTTTTAGCTCTAAACAGTTTCCAGGGACACATTTTTTCCTTTGAATGAAGTTTGTATATTTAGTTCAGAAAATAAAGCATAGAAATGTTTCACTTCTCCAACTTTAAAATTTCATAACTAAATCTACATCGTGCACCTTTAATGTTCAAACAGTGGATCCATTTTTCTGCAGTGATGAATTAAACTGGGACATCTCTTGGTATCTTTCGCACACACACACACACACACACACAGTTGGCATAATTCTCAGTGATTGTTTTGTATGGTGAACCAATACTGTAGCCATTCAGGAAATTAAAACCTGTGACTGTATATTGGTCCTGGTCTGTGCAGGTTCTCAGTCATCATTAGGTCATGGTCTTAATCCAATTGGAAGCTTGATCCAAAGGCAACTGGACAAGATCTTCAAACGAGTCCAGTTGCCTTTGGATCACACTTTGAATATATTGATCCTTATTTTAGGGTTTGAACTAATTTTGCATGAAAGTATATAAAATAAATCTTAATTACATGCAGTACCTGCTGGACTCTGTAGGAGATCATTTGTTGACTTCCGATCTGATCGGAGAGTCCGTCTTTTTGTTGATTTTCTCGTTAAACGCAGTATTTGTTTGTGTCGAAACTTATTGTACTGTCCAATACTGTCGCCTATTTGTAATCCCACCTGGATTTAAAATCTTAAACATACACATGATAAAGACCCTGTTCTAAGAATAATGTTGACCTCTCACCTCATTGTGTGTCTTTTTCTGTTCTCTGTGTTTTTACTTAAGTATTCTGACGTTATGTTGCAGGCACATGTTTGACTTTTCTTTGGAGAAGAACTTATTGTACAGTATTTAAAGAGAGGCACTGGACTGAAACTCTTCTCTGTTCTGCACTTTTGAAGTTATTTTTCTTAACATTGTTTATTTTCACGGCAGCCAAACTTTATGCAAATACAGGGAATTGATTTTCTGATGGTTTTTGTGTGTTTATGTTTTTTTTGTCTGCTAGCCACTGATGCCAATAAAGACAGTCTTCTTAATATTACAATTGTTTGAATCCTGTGTTGAAACATATTTTTATGGCTTTGATTTCTTAACTTTTTTTAAAATTCCTTTATGTTCGGATGTTTAATATCTAAAACAGTCATCAGTGCTACATTGAGGGAGCTAACTGA